CAATACCGTGTAGTTAGAGCGAAGATGAAGTCTTTGATTTAAGGTGTCAGATTGTTCAATTGGGTGGCGAAAGTGGTGGTCCTGTGCGTAGTCCGATCCCGCAATGATGGAATAGCATCACAGCCCGATCGTGGTTATCATGACTGGTTATCAGTCATATCATTCATATCGATGATGAGCCTCTAGTGCCAAGAAATATGTCATGGAGAGGGCCTTCGAGACTTTTAAAAGGGTCATCGCCCGACAACGGAAGCAAGCGTTCATCTCCAGGCTCCAGGCTCCAGGCTCCACGCATGCTCTGTTTGTGTCTCGGCTCTCGGTTGCAGAGCAGTCGGCCAATCTGGTAGGCCAGACCAAGGCAGCACAGAGGACAGTGGAATTCGCAACTCCCCTCATGGTCTGTGCAGACTCCAGAAAATTTTTGAACGTGACGACTGGAGACCTGACACCACCAAGAATGCGTCTCGACCTTCGACCCGGCAAACAGTGCTCCAGCAGGTGCAGGGTACTGATGTCATAGTCCGGGAATTTCCTTGGAAAATCAGTCGTTGGCCCGAACGACGCTAGTGCTTAGCACATCAATCAAATTTAACCACTCCAGCTTAACGGGTGGGTAACCCCCCTCAGTGGGCACCCCACTTGAAATGTACTTGAGTAGAAAAGTCATCTAGGCTCCGAAGTCCGAGGAGAAGATAAGTTACTCACTCTCTCATACATGTCTCCGACTCTTCGAGACCAGAAGAATAAGCAAAACCACACCCGAATAGGGGATATATCATATATACTCTCTGTATTGTGATCTAGCTAAGTTCTGTGCGTGCCTCTGCTACTCTAGACGTGCAGCTCCAGCAGCTGTATCTTGGTGGATCTCCCACGCCTGTAAACTTTGCTTGCTTTTCTCGTCCATCACACATCTGCATCTAGGTCTGTAGAAGTTTTCGCTTCAGTATCCCAAATTGTAAAATCCCACGCTGATCAGTTTCCCACACACCCCTCCTTGTGGAAATAAAAAATGAAGACACTTCATTCCAATTGACGGAGGGGCCACTCGACCATCGGTACTTACGCCATACGGGGACCACCGGCCGGAAGCTGGGGTCACTGTTCCAAGGCTGGGAACCCGACAAGCCAGGAGGCAGGGCCGAATATACATGGAAGTGGGAACTTTTAGCAAAGCGCTTCATCAATCAATGATACTGAGGGAAGCTGTCCGGCCAGATGAAGCTGTAAGATACTGAGCGTGATTGGCAGGTGGTCGACACCAGTGATGGGAGGAGTCTAATATACATCGAACACAGAATTTTAGTGTGGGCAGCATTTCTAACGCTCCCCAACATTTTTTGCCCTCTAGACCTTCGACAGACACTTCCGGAACCGCTGGTTGGGCGGTGGCGACTTTTAGACCGGCGCTAACCAAGAGCCTGGAAGCCCCTGAACATGTAAGTTAGGTGGGCATAAGAGAAGACCGAGAAGAAAGAGAAAAAAAAAAGGCCCGGAGGAGGGGTGGAGGAAGGAGGGGAATGGAGGAAGAACACTGGGGGTGGAGACTCAACCATGGTTACTGATACGTAAATAGCCCTTAACCTTCTCTCTTCTCTAACACTATGTAACTATGTACTGCACTACGACGTGCTGCCTACGGCTGCGCACAATTTATCGGGTCAAGGCGGGCTGTACCATGACATGGATTGATCGGGAGGGTCTTTTGAGTTAGCGACACCACCGGCAGCAGCAGTAACAGTCTTGGTCGCTCGGCTGGCTGGCTCTCAGACTCTCTCGAGACACGGTCGGGTGGGAGAACGTGAGTCCTTGCATAGGTCGATCAGACACGACACCCCGAGTTCTCTTATCGATCGAGATAACCGATTCCATGGGACTGGGGACTGGTGTGAATTTATCACCATTTCCGAATGGTCAAGAAGAGGTTCTTCGTCTTTTATCATCATCATCATCACCATCATCATCATTACCATTGAAATCGTACTCATCATCATCGTCATCATTCTAGGTTGGGGTCGTAATCTGAGACCGATAAAAAAAGGACCGTTTCGGTATGGTGACCGACATCATGGAAGCCCTCGGAAGCGATGCAGCCATGCCTTGAAATTCGACATTCTTCTGGACTAGCACGTACATCATACCTTCTCCGACCGGACTAGAGTAGGACCTACCTACATCGTTACACACATACCTCCAATGAACAACAACCTAGATATGAGAGACTAAAAGAGACTAACTAGAATACTCCGGCCATGCAGCCTTGAAGATCACCTGTCCCCCACTCCAGCCACATGTGGTGAAGTGCTTTGATACCAGTGATAGTCATGATAACTAACCATAGTTGTGGTGATGATGATGATGTGCGATTAGGGTTCCCGATGGCGCAAACGTAAGGAACCAGGGAAATCCTATCTCAGAATGGGGAGGGAATGACGGGGATAAGGAGGGGAGGGGGGTGTTTGGGGTGTTCAAGATGTTCGAACCGAACGAGGATTGAAGGAGATCATTATTGATAATCCCTGATTGTCATGGTGCCATCCGGGTACCGAAGGGATAGGGAATGCGATCGGGAGGCGAAGGAACCCGGGCAGGACAAGGCAGGCCAAGGTATACCCGTAGAGAGGGAGAGGGAGTTTGTGAGTGATTGAATGAGAGTGTTGTAGTACTGAGAACTACTCGTAGTTTGTTAGAGACCGACCGACCGACCGACCGACCGTCTTACAATCCTACTGCCATCATACAATCAATCAATCTTACTCTTTTTTGCATTTTCCAAGTTTTTTTTGTTCTTTTTGTTTTTCCTTTTTTTTTTTTCTTTCTAATTTTTTTTGATCCCTTCACTACACTACCTACTCTCTCCCTCCCTCCCTCCCTCCCTTCCTTCTATGCGTACGGACATACGACAGTGGACGTACCGATATCCATGGGATCCACCAGGCCGGAACGCATTGACTGGACAGTTGGGGATCGTCCCCAGTCCCAGACCGTTCGATCGCCTATTTTAAGTTGGTTAGTAGCATCCCAGCACTCGTATTTACCACTAATACCACGGCCACCTTCATCATCATCATCCTCTCATCTTCTCGCTCCCGCTCCGGGTACGGCGGCAACTTGGTAGTCCAAGGTACCGACTTGTAGCTTCGATCCCACTCTGTTATCGCTTTCTGCCCCTGTCATGTCACCACCCGTTTTCGCCTTCATCTTCATAGATCAACCAATTCAAGTAGTCAGTCCATATTACAGTTTGCTCCAGGAGGGGTAAGAACAGAAAGACAGACACACCAGGAGGAAGAGATGAGGGGCTAGACACCTGTTGCTTTCGGAGATCTTGAAGTCAAAATTGAATCTGGAGCGATGGAAGAAGGAAATCTACGAAGCAACTACTCGATGCAGTCGATGCAGTCCTGAAAGAACGGACCCGCTTCATCTACTGCCCGCTTTAGTTTTTTGCCCCTCCCTGGCTGCAGGGAGGGGCAGTGGGCGATGGGTGAATGAACGAGCGAAAGAGAGACATCCATTGCAGAACGAGACGAACGAGACCGTACTAGGTACTCCGTACCTAGTCCCGAATTTTCCATTTCCTTGCCTGGGGGGCGGCGGCTTCGTTCTTCGTCTTCGACTTCTTTTTCTGCTTGCCTGCCTGCTCTGCTGCAAGTTGCAACAACGTCCGAGCTCCTCTCCTCCTCCCTTATCAATATCATTCCTGAATTATGTCGAGCTTTTCTGATTAGGAACCTCTTTTGCTGGGGTGGGTGGGACATTTATTTTTCTCTCTAAATATTAAATATTCATTTTTTATTTTTAATTCCCTTATTTTTGACTCTCCGGATATTTTAATTTATTTTCAGACATGTAATTAAATCCTCTTTTTTGTTTTATTTTTTTTCAACGCTCTTCTCTTCCTCTCTGAGTCTGAATCTTCTTATTATTCTTAATCTTCTTCTACTATCTTCTCTCTATACCGACCGTCAACTGCGGCTCACTCCATTTCCCACTCCGCCCTGGGCCTGTCATCTTTCATATACTCACTTCATTTTCCCATTTCCTTCCCCATCCTTCTCCGACAAGCCCGCCTTCGAATCCTGGTCCTCCGTTCTCCCTCCCCCTCTCTTCCTCCCCTCCATCCCGATTTACTTCTTTGTATCTACTTCAATCCCGGTTCGCCTTCAACCACCCACCCAACCAACCAAACCCGAATTCCGTTCTTCTTATTATTCTGCTTCTTTTCTTCTTTTCTTCTAACATCCTCCTCCTCTTCTTCCATTCCACGTTTTTACTTCCGATCAATCATATCCCTGGCGGTTGCTGTCCTGTTTCCATTCAACGTCAATCTCTTCAATGTCGCAATCAAACTGATGTCGCATCTCCAAGGTAAGTACTTGCTTGACAGAACCGAATCTCCAGCCTCCTCCGCCTCCTGCCTGCGTCGCCTCTCACTTCCAATGGCAACCTCTTTCCTCTCTCCCCCCTCTCTCGCGCAATTAGAGATTTCAAGATGTATCCCCGGTGATTTGTTTGGTCGCAATCGCTTCGCTCTCAATTCGTACCACTGCCTGGGATCCTGTTATGTGTCGTAACACCTTGTTTGCTGCATCTGCCCTCCGCACCAAGCCTTTGCCTCCAACGCTCCTTCTACTTATCGGCACCCACTGGAACGTCGCCAGTCACACCACTCTTCCTCCACTTTTCGCTGCACGCCCAGCTCTGTCATCAACTCACTCAACTATCTTTCCTTCCCACTTATTTCCCTCGTCCTGACGCGGGTCGAAGCTTCTGTCCCTCCTGCTCCACTGTCTCACGCTGCGTTTCCAACTTGGATGCTCGGAACTGACTGGAAGATAAGACCACTTTCAAAGACGCCATATCCCCGGACCTCTAGTCTCTTGATCAAAGACAGGCGTTCTTTCTCTCGCAACTCACCTCGCTTCTGGAGGATTCTCACCAATTCACTATCAACCCCCCCCCCCCCTCTCTGTGTTGCATCACACAAGGTCGGCCGGATGCCCTACACTGCGCCGTTGAAGACGTCGCCTTCCGCGCAGCACATTGAACACTCTCCACTCACCTCCAATTCCTGTCCCAACTCGCCCACCGTGGTCTCCTCACACCCTCCCCGTCCACACCTACCTCGCTCCTACTCCTCGACGTCTTATGTACGGAGGCATCGGAGGAGCCCTTCCAATAGCAAAGCCTTTGTCTTCCCTGAGCCAGATCACTCGTCAAAGCCAGACCATGTCAGCTACTCCCAGTCGAGTATTCGAAAGTCTCCTCCTCCCCTGAGTGACGCGGTCATTCCTCCAGGGGCCCTGATTTCTCCTCCTGATTCTGCTCCTAACTCCAGTGATGAAGAGACATCATATCGACCGCAGGGCGAGCTGCAACTGGAGAAATTAGAGGCAGCCGTGAGGTCGATTGAGCAAAGAAGGATGTCCTCACCAGAGAGACCGGTTGATGAAGATACGTCGTCTTCAAGCATGGCTGCTTCTACTGCCGACTCCGTGAAACATATGCGGCCGCCTCTTTCTCGAGAAGCTCGCAAGATCTCTCATTCACGTTCGGCGACCGAGTCTTTAGTTGACCACAAGCAAGATGAAGTCTTGACTACCTCCCCGGAAGAAAGTGATCGGGATGACGAACCTCGTGTGAAGCACCCAATGGTACGCAAGAAGTCAGGAGAGCTCGTTCGGCCCGCTCTTCGTCCAGCTTCGGCTCGACGGCGTCCGTCTAGTATGCCAGGAACGCCGACATTTTCCAAGGCTGTGCACTTCGATGCTCAATTGGAACACATCCGGCACTTTCTGCAGCTGGACAAACCCCAAGCTGTCAGTGCTGACACATCTCCTGTCGACGACTATGATGCTGCTGGGGAGTTTCCTTTCCGTCACACACCTCATGACAGCACTTCGGAATGGGAGATCACGCTCGACAACTTCCCTACTGATGTCTCCTCCCGCGCCCATCAGCGTGTCCGCCTGGAACGTCTATATCTCTCTCCTGACAAGCATACCCTGATCGGTGTTGTGGCTGTTGCTAACTTGGCCTTTCACAAACATGTTGCGGCTCGTTTCACCCTGGATCATTGGAAAACGGTATCAGAAGTAACCGCAGAGTACAACAACCAATCCCGACGGGAGCATGCCCACGATGCTTATGACAGGTTCTCATTTAATATCAAGCTGAATGATCAGACAAACCTTGAAAAGAAGACGATGTTTGTGTGCATACGCTACAATGTCGAAGGCCAAGAGTATTGGGACAACAACCACCACAAGAACTTTCAAGTCAATTTCATGAAGATCACCAAACCAAAGGTCGGGCAGACGAACCCCCAGCCAACGAAGCCTCGCACCGCGTTGCCTCGCAGCAGGAGCTTTGTGGTGTCCACCACTCGTCCCAATTCGATGCCTCCGTCGTTTGACAACTTTTCCGAGATGGATAAGTATATATCTTTCGGCAACTCAGCCAAGCCCGCCAAGGAAACTCAATTGTGTGATGATGAGCCGCATGATGTCGAGGTTGCTGCTCCCATTCGTCGTGATAAGCAGAATCATCAGGTTTTTGGCAACCGCTATGACTTTGAGGCATCATTGACGGCGGCTATGAAGACCAAACCGACGCATGACCGAACAACCTTGGCTGCCCGCGCCAAATCCAACCCCTCGCCGCATGGTCATCATCAGCACACTTCAGAGAAGCGGATGAGTTCTCGTGATAACATCTCCAGCCATGCAAACGGCAATGGCCATCAAACAAGTTCTGTGTCCAGTCACAAACCCTCCACCCTAGTATCGAGCAAACCGCATCGCGAGTCCTCCGTATATAAGGAGCTGGTGGATAAGTATTGTTTCTTCGGCTCGCCTAACTTCTCGACGGACGGGAACGAGTCCACGGCCGTCAAGGACTTTGCAAGCCGAACAAGCTCCAGCAGCAGTTCCAGCGCAGGTTCTCCATGCTCGTCACCCCACATCGAGGCGGCATATGGTGCCGATTCACGAACTTCCTCCCCTAGTCACATCGGATTCCCCTACATTCAGAACAATTTCCTCAAAGAAACCAACACCCCAGCAATTATCCAAGGATGAACCAAGAACTTCCATCCTCCCGAAACCGTCCTCTTCCTCCATTGAATGTCGATACATATCTCAGACTTTGTAACCGGACGATACGATGCTTGTATGGATGGGCAGGCATCGCCTTGTTACATGCGACTTCTTCCACCTCCGATCCGATTATCTCGACGGCGTCATTCTACTTTTCCGCAATCAGATGCGCGTGCCACAGACACATTTGCAAAACTGTTTGGCAAAATTTCAGCGCGAGCAGTCAGGGTTCAGCCGCCCTTTGGCTCTCGGTATATTTCTCGGATACGTGGTCTGGAGCGTCAGGCTCCGGATTCTTTGCGATGTGTAATAAACCGCGAGAATCCGGGATGATGCCGGACAAGTTATCCTGTTTATTAATTTACATTTAACCAAGTAGTGGCTCACTACGATGACGATTATGACCTGATGGCTTTTATCGTTTCTCCTCGACTGTCCAAATCCTGTTCAGATCACTTGTTGTTTGTTGATTACTTGTATGTCTGTGAGATTCACAAGGCGTTTGTTTTAAAAAGTCGATCTGCATCGGCCTTATCTGCTTCTTCGTGCTCAGCATTTTGTTCCTCCTGCCTCTGCCAGCGTTCGTACATGTTCTATTGTGGGTGGGGCCGGCAAAGATGGCTTGTCGTTATCTAATGTGTCATTTGACGAGAGGAGTTTTTGGGATGTCCGGATGCAGTCTGAAGCCCGACTGGGTGAATCACAGAACATCTTCACTTTGCACATGAAGGTTGCGAGTAGACGTAGATGTAGATGTAGATGTAGAAGTAGGATAATAGTTTTGCATGTCGTAGCCAGTGCTAGGCCAGTTGTCAATGGAAAATAGGATGGTGCTAGATCTGGGAGTTCTTCTTTCCTCTCTTCACTCTTTACAAGCTTGCTTTCCAAGTATTACAAGCAACTTTGAAGTTCATGGGTGCGTGGTCCAGGCCTCGAATTGGGGAAGAGGGGCAGTGGGGCACGTGACCGGCGTACCCGCAGCGGGAAGGCGGCTCCAGGCGGACGCGTTGGCAGCCATACCTTACCTACCTTACTGTACCTTTCCCAGCTGCAGTGCCCAGTGCCCTTTCACCCGTCTCCAAAGTGGCCGTTCATAACGCCCTTTTTTTCAGCCGCAACCCACCAATCAGCCGTTTCCATTCCATTTTGATCCTTCCCAGATCACCCTTTGACGCTTAGTCACTCAAAATCACGCTCTCGCTTGCCGCCCACTCCGCAAACCTATTTAAACCGTTTCTCTTCTCCTTTCCCCCCTCTCTTACAACCTCTGATTTTCTCTGGCCCGCTACGCGTCACGTCGACCATCCATCTATCTTGCACCCCGCGTTTTATCATTTTTCTTCGCTCATCCATCTCGATTTTTAAGCACATTTTGCCAAGATGACTGGACGTAAGTAATCTTCTATTATTTTCTTTTCCTTTCTGTTTGTCGTGCTGCTGTTACGCGAATTGTGATACGTGGTTTGCCCGTCTGCTGTGGCTGGATGAGGCTGCTTCGCAGCAGCCTGCTCCGACCGCACGTGATCGCAGCCCTGCCTGACGCTCCGTCCCTCACTTCGCCACACTATCTCAAGCTCAAGCTCTCTTATCTTTGCTACCAAATACTAACCGCTCTTCAATCAACAGGTGGCAAAGGAGGAAAGGGTCTCGGCAAGGGTGGTGCCAAGCGTCACCGTAAGATTTTGCGTGACAACATCCAGGGTATCACCAAGCCCGCCATCCGCCGTCTCGCCCGCCGTGGTGGTGTCAAGCGTATCTCCGCCATGATCTACGAGGAGACCCGTGGTGTTCTGAAGTCCTTCCTCGAGTCGGTCATCCGTGATGCCGTCACCTACACCGAACACGCCAAGCGCAAGACCGTCACCTCGCTGGACGTTGTGTACGCCCTCAAGCGCCAGGGCCGCACCCTCTACGGTTTCGGTGGTTAAATGCCGTCTGTTTTGCTTCGATCTCTCTATCGTTACATCATCTCGTCTGTTCAACTTGTTCTCCATCGCTAGCCCATCAATTGGCTTGCCAACACGATGTATTCTCTTTTCTGTCGCCATGCGCCAATCTTCGGAGTACAACTGGAGGATGGGTTCATGAAATGGATGGATGGATTAAATGCGACGATCACGAGAGACGACAAATTTGTCTTCGGTCTTCTTTTGCTTGGGATGCTTTTCGCTTCATGCAATGGGTTACGGGGTTTCAGGATCTGGTCGGGCATTGGTCGTTAATATCATCTGTTTCTAATCTTCTCCTGTTTTCTTTTTCTACCAGGACAGTGGATTCTGGCTTGGGAGGTCTTTTATGTGAGCTGCAGCACCCAAAGTTGTCGATCTCGTTGTTTGCGTGTAGATCGGTCGCGTCAAGCATTCTTTGGGTGGATAGATGAATGAAGAACTTCCCATCAGCCTGTGACGTTTCTCCTATTGATCCCAGATTAATGGCAGTCAGCCTGATTGGCGGGTTGTCGGTCACTCCCATGCGTGAATTTTGACTCTCCGTGATCTCACGGTGCTTTAGCAGAGTTATGCAGTAGAGGGACGGACGGGGACAGAATCACATGCTCCAGAGTGAGAGTCGCACAGACCCGCCCCGGGGCGATGATGTAATGGGCCCCGGCCCCCCTCCCGTCCTCTCCCTTTCGGGTCAATCAACCTCGGTCATCACACCATGCCGTCTGATGGATGAATGGGCTACATACCTACCTACTTACTAGAACAAAGTGGAACGATGCACCGTCGACTGATACTCTTCCACCTTGTCTCCTGATTTCTCTTAATTATCAAGTATTTTGAGCCAGACTGCGCTTGCCATTCATCACCACAACGCAAACATACTAGAAGACCAAGATCTCCCAAACAGACCGCCCATGTCCTGACGCGACCACCTTCTCCCAAAACGAATCGACCGATCTAGCCCAAAGGTATACACCGTGATGAACAATGTCAGAATACAAGATGTCCTATGAGGCGGAGCTGGTACGTTACCCCCTTTCCCCTTTGACTCTCTTATATAACTCCAAACGCGGCCTACGCATCACTTGGGAAATGGTTCACCACATCTCATAGCAAGCGCTAACTTAAGCGTCATTCGACATCTAGGACTCCTACCAACTCTACCACCGCTACGAACAGCCTCGCCGACCCCAACCCCAGGATCAAGACTGGAAACAGGCGGCGCTGCGGGGCCCCGCTCTGCCGGCGCTGGGCAATGCCCTGGCCGGCGCCATCGGCGCGGCCCTGAGCAATGTGGCGACGTATCCGCTGAGTCTGATCGTGGCGCGGCTGCAGACGCAGCAGACGAAACGCCCGAACCAGCACGAATCAGAAGATGGGAAGGCGAAGTTAAAAGACCAAAATGCTGGAGACGATGATGATGGTGGCTACGCCGGTGTCCTCGACGCCGCCCGCAAGATCTACGCGCAGGAAGGGGGACTGGGGAGCTTCTATACGGGTCTCGCGCAGGACACCGCCAAGTCGGTGTTCGACTCGTTTTTGTTCTTCCTGGCGTATGAGTTTTTGCGGCAGCGGAGGATCCGGGCTCGATTTGGTGGTGGCACGCGGAGGAAGAGTACCGTGTTGCCGGTGTTGGATGAGTTGGTGATTGGGGTGGTGGCGGGGGCGTTTGCGAAGCTGTTCACGACGCCGTTGGCGAATATTGTGGCGAGGAAGCAGACTGCTGGTAAGAAAGGGTCGGTGGGAAGCAGTACGAGGGAAATTGCGGCGCGGATTCGCGCCGAGAAGGGGCTGCGCGGGTTCTGGTCCGGGTATTCGGCCTCGTTGATCTTGACGCTCAATCCGTCGTTGACGTTCTTCTTGAATGAGGTGCTGAAGTATGCGCTGCTGTCGCGGCGGCGGCGGCGGGATCCGACGCAGAAATCAAGCTCCCTCTCGCCGGCGGTCACGTTCTTGCTGGCGGCGCTGAGCAAGTCGGCGGCCTCAGCGGTGACGTATCCCTTCTCCAAGGCCAAGACCCGTGCGCAGGTCATGGGCGATGACTCTTCGTCGTCGTCATCGGCGCAAAAAGCTTCAGGTGGGGAGCAGGCGAAGGAGAACGGCAACGCGGAGACGGACGAGGGGATCTCGTTCACGCCGGCCATCGTCAGCAATGTCATCAACATTGCTCGCACGGAAGGCGTCGCGGGCCTGTACGCGGGTCTGCCGGCGGAGGTCCTCAAGGGCTTCTTCTCGCACGGTTTCACCATGCTGGCCAAGGACGCGGTGTACTCGGCCATCGTGCAGAGCTATTACCTGCTGCTGATCGCGCTGCGCAAGTACCCGAGCCCCGAGGAGCTGATCCAACGCGCCCGCGAACAGGCCGAGGAGTATGCCGACGTCGCGCGGGAGGGGGCTCGTGACTTAGCTGAGAAGACCAAGCAGGGCGCGGAGGAGGTGATGCACTCCCTGACCGCACAGGGGGAGCCCGAGGAGGCCAATCCGTTGGGGAATAACGAGACGGCGGAGATGGTGGGGGACTATGTCGAGGACGATGGCACCCACAAGGATCTGTATCATTGGTTCTGGGAGAAGGACCGGGAGGGGAATTACTGATGTTGGGTTTGGGGTTGGGTGGGGTTTCAAAGAGATTGAGCGTTCATCTACATCTGTACTAATTTTCCTGGAGTTGCAGTTTGGATATCATTGACTTTGCATACGTTTCCTGTTTCTTGTCGATGGCTCAAACTACGGTCTTTTGTCTGCAAAGCCGGGGAATCGGTAGTCTGCAGCGACAAGTCCCAGGCTAACTATAGCCAGCAAGCACCCTGAATCATACCGAAGCGGCTTACATCTCCCAAGTTCAATCCCAAGGGCTGTATGCATAATAGTTCCTAGTTCACGGAACACTGGTATGGAAGGGTTCCCACAGCCCCCAATCCACAATAGTCCTCAACAAACAGTGCATCCTGCAAACTAGTCTCGGCCTATATCTACACGTCACCTAGGAAGTTCCCATCAATAAGGTGCTGTAAGCCTCAGGCTTATATCCGATCACAGACCCATCAGTGAGGTTTTCTTCCTGGAAGCGCGGCCGGGACAGCTGAAGTATCTGCGCAAGATTGTTCAGTCTTAATCTAAAGATAAGCAGGGTGAGGGTGGGCTGAGAGCTGACTGAGGCTGAGGCTGACGCCGACGCCGACGATAATGAAGGCGGGCTAGTCCGACGGGCTACTAACTAACTAACCTAGCCCTGTACGCAGTAAGTTACCAAGTAGTAACTAAGTTAACTTATTCATCCGTCCATCGGCACACAAGAGCATCTTCTCACCAGTGCAGTCCAAAGCTGTTAACAAGTAAGAACCTTGAAGTAACAATATAAGTATCCATCTGTCCTCCCGCCAAAAAAGAACTACATGCCTTCACCACCACCAACCCCCACAGCACAGCACAGCACACAGCACACAGCACGACAAAATCCCTCCCCTCCTCAGCTAACTCAACAGCTCCCACCCCCGATCCCGATCCCCAAACCACCAAGCCACCAAAGCACCAGCACCAGCAATGCCAATCCCAACCCCACCCCTCCAACTCCACCCCGTCACCTCCCCCGACCTCCCATCCCTAACCCACCTCTTCTACGCCGGCTTCACCACCCCCACCGACCGCCAGATGTTCCCCGACAAGCCGGGCCTGCGCGCCTGGTGGGCCGCCGCCAACCGCCAGGATCTGGAGCAGAAGGCCGGGGTCCGGTACCTGAAGGTGGTGGATCCGGGTGCCGCTGCCGCACCGGACGCGACTGCAGACGGTCCTGCCGCCGACCCCGACACCAGTATAATCGCCTACGGGAAATGGGATCTCGATCCGGGCCACCGCGGCGCCCGGTTCCCGGAGTGGCACGCGGACTCGGATGCGGCGTTGTGTGAGCGGTTCTTTGGCGGGTGTGAGGTGGTGAGGAGGGAGGTTATGGCGTCGAGGACGGGGGGGTATTATTGTATTTCTTCCCTGGGTCTGCTTTCTTTTTGATTTTTGGGGGGGGGGAGGATGTTGATGATGATAAGTTACTGACCGTAAACATAGATCTCGATATGTTGGTGACGCACCCGCAGCACCGGAGACGTGGAGCGGCGACCATGTTGGTCCGGTGGGGGTGTGAGCTGGCGGACCGCACGGGAATGCCCGTGTATATCGATTCGACGCGCGCCGGGGTGCCCGTGTATGAGCGGATGGGGTTTATGGTGGTGCGCGAGGATGCGGAGGCGGGGTTGTTTAGTATGGTGAGGGAGCCGGGGGGTGCTTCCTCCGGTGTTCATGAAGGATGAAGGATGGAAGATGGATGTCTGGTTGTGGGAGTTGGGCATTTAGGTTCGGTTCTCTTCTGGTGGGTTTGGGTCGGATTCAGAGACTGGATTGATCTCCCTGGTGCAAGCCTTATCCGATAGACCGTTCCTGGATGTTGATTCGACTTAGACTCTACATGCCAGCGCAATATAAGACAGTCATTCTCATGATATCGAAGGTAAGTCATAATTCATAATCATCATCATATGCTACATCATTCATGCATGTCGTAAGAAATGGCCCGTCTCACACCCATGTCAGTCGGTCATAAGAAATCAGAAACAAAACCAGAAGCATGCAAAACAGAAAAGAAAAGACCCTCAAGCACAACCCCCCAGGTAAACCTGCCTCGAGTACCTGTATCAAGACCTTCTAGCCATCGCCATCACCGATACTAGACGACCTCATCCACCACATGCACATGCGAGCCCGGAAACAAACCCGTCAAGCCGGCATAACAGCCCCAGTACCAGTCATCGTTGATGTTCTCGGCTTCGGTGATTTCAGCACCGCGAGGGAACATCAGTTCATCTTTGACGCCGTCTTCAGGGTACCACGACCACAGAGCATGGACAATCAGCCCAACGCCTCCATCTGGAGGAAAGCGTCTTGATGCCGATGCCGGTGCAGCGGAGGTGGGAAGGACTGGAGCAGCGAATGTCGGCGTATTTGGGGTGCTGGGTTCTGAGGACGGAGGAGACGTAAGGGCGGTGCGATCGCGCTCGCCGCCAAGTGGCCAGGGACGAAGACGGGAGGCCTTTTTGCGTCGCTCCGACCCTTCCTTCCAAAGCCAGTCGCCGGGTGCGAATTCGGGCGATGCAATTCCTGGCCCTGTTCCAGTTGCAGCAGACGACGAAAATGATGTAGTGGAATGAGGGAAAGGAGAGTTCGGAGTTCCAGGAGTCGACGCAGTCGCATGGATGCTTGTAGGAGTAGGAACAGCAAATGGAGAAGATGACGGCTGTTGAAGGTGTTCGTCGTTCAAGGCACATCCGCCTACTAGATCCCTGACGATGACACGGCGCTGCCCCTCGTCGTGATCTTCGAAGCCAACGACTATCATACGGTGCCCCTTGATGCAGCGCCTCCAGCCATTGTGACCGTTCTCCTTGCGAATCTTGCCAGTGGCAACAAGGCGCAGGTAGCAATTCGCGCAGATGTCGTAGTCGCCGTCATTGCATACAAGGCAGTGGAAGCGGAGCGTTGATGCGAGGATCGGGTGCGTGCAAATGTCGCAATTTGTGGTGAAAGAAAGAATCTTGAAGATCTCAGTCCCTGACCCGGAGGCGTCACTGCAGTCGTTTGAGGCGCCATTTGGGGCGATTGTGAATGCCCCTGTTGGCGATGCTAATGGGCTATCGCGGGTGATGCGGCAGATGGGAAGCAGGGCGTGCGTGCAGCAGCGACCTTGGTTGACGCAGCGGTTGCAAAAGCCCCAGTCTCCTTCGTTGCATTGATTACACTTCCAGAGGCAGTCGTTTGCTGATGAATGGCAGCTGTCACAGAACAGCCCAGTCTGCAATCTTCGGGCGGGGTCGTCGTTGGTGACCATTCGCCCGTCTCTGTCGGATCGATAGGCAGATTCTGGTGCTCGAAGATACCTGCAAGATTGGAGTATATGCGATGTATCGACAGGGGATCGAGGCTCACCGGTCGATGATGCGCGAATGCGTTCGAGATCCGCTTTTGCGGACGCTCCGAAGCCAGCCCAATTGAGGCAGCCGCGCCCGGTGCGATAGCATCGCAGACATAGGTGGAAGTTTCCATCTTTACATGTGGGACACTTCTTATGTAGGTCATACTGTATGTTGGGCTTATCGCACCGGTCGCACTTGATTGATGGTTCCATGTACAGTGTCGCAGAACGGGGAGGCGCGTTTGATCGAGAGGATGAAGGTCGTGAACGAGGCTCCTGCCTTGCTGCGACACCTACCTCGGCCACTAAAGAGCTGGTTGGAGGCGACGCTGTTGAGGGCTCATCCGGGCTTGAAGGCCAAGAGCCGTTGCGTCCCCTGTGATTCAAACCCGCGGCCACTCGAGGAGAATCAATCGACGATCTTCCAGACGGGCGAAGCTGCCTCTCCCTTGCCCCTTCAACCCAGATGTTGGGAACGTTCTGTTCAGATGCAGTGGCACGGCGTGACCGGAATGCTGCTGAAGCCTCCGCTGTGCGGACGCGACCAGCTTGCGAGTTTCGGGGTCGATCAGCAACCATGTCACTTGACGATCGCGCCGCAGGCCGCAGCGAGACTTCCGAAGAGGACGCCGCGCCGACCGGTACAGGCGACGTCCTTCGACGAGTCCTAGTTCCCCCTTGGTCTGACAGACGTCTTTGATGGCCCGAATGCCCATCACGCGCGGCAAGCGGATCCAGAAGATATGGTCTCGATACCGGGGGACCGCCATTCGACTCTCGCGTATCCCTCATAGCAGCAGCACCTGTACCATTTTCCGCCCTTTGCACAGACTGGGATCGCGCGCGAGGCCGAGAAGACGGGGTCTGCGAGTTTTCTCGAGGTTCCGTCCGTTGCTGCTGAGACCGTGCTCGTAGCCTATGCCTTCGACGATACGCATCCGCAATGCGCTCACTGAGCTCTTCCTCCTGTGACGGACCCATGTTATCCAGATCGATATCATCCAACAACCCCTCCTCAAAGATCTGTCGCAAGATCTCCTCTTGCATCGTTTCCGTATCCGACAAACTGAGCAGCGACCTTAAGCTCGACTGATGTTCCACCCGCCTTGTCGACCGTTCCGGACCCTCCTCCCCAGCTGTCGTCCGCCGTGGTTGTCGTCGTGAAGAGCCCTCCCGTCGTCGTCGAGACCGACCATCCTCCCTTCGACGCTCATCCGAATCGGTACCCGTGCCCTCCACCCGCCGATGACGACTCCGCGACGAATGTCGCGAGCGCTGTTGCTGTTGTTGTTGACGATATCCCGACCGACTGTCTTGCAAACTCAAAGCCCTCACTTCCTCCAGCACCCTTCGATCCTCCGCATCTGAACCCGCATCCGTGGACGGAAAGACTGAGTCGCCCGGTTTATACCTCTGCGCAACCTCCTCCTTCTCCGCGGCGGATTTGCCCCGGTCGGGACTGGCCGCCAAGACCATATCCAACAATGTCGTCACGGTCGCATTGGGACGGGTGTCGCGCACGGCAGCTCGGCATGATGGGCAGGTGAAGCGGGCGGACGAAGACGGTCGGGAACGGGTTCCTTGTACGGCGAACCACTCCTTAAGGCACGAGCCGCAGAAGGTGTGGAGGCAGTTGAGGAGGGTGAGGGGTTGGTAGAGAAGGTCAGTACAAATCTAGGTGGAGTTGACTGTCATTAGTTTCCTGCATATTTTTCCATCGATGATCTTCCTTTTCCGTTCCGTTCCAAGGAGAATGGAGGTTATGTCGCGTTCTGACAGATGAGCTGGCACGCAAGGGAGGCGAATGGAGAGCGTCGAATCATGGTGGTGGTGGGGGGGGGGAGGGACACCCTTCAACTCTCCCGCAGCATTCCAGTGGTTCATGTCACCAAACTTACCGAACAAGTCAATTCTTTCTCGAGATCTCTCAGGCCTGGACCTGAGTGTGGTGCTGTCGACATGGAGGTACCAAAGAGAGGAATTATCTGGAGGAATGGGAGGAGTTAGGAGGAGTTAGGAGGAAAAAAGAGTCAAACGGAGTCAACCAGAGTAATCGGAGTCAAGGTAAACAAACAGGAAGGAAGATGGAGTGAGTTGAGGCCTGAAGAGAAAGGGCACGAGCGGGAACTTAGTGGGAGAAGACCTGGAAGAGGCTGGGATTGCAGTGGGACTGACTGGGAATGGGTCTGGGTCTGGGGCTGGGCTGGGCGGCCAGTCGGTTCAGGCACCACAAACACCCCGCCGCTCCACCATCCACGAGCATGTTTATTCTCTATCTCTCCACATCTATGCAGAATTGTCCACGCGAGTGAAATTCCAGAGATCAACAAATTGACTTCTAGTGACGATTGGCTTCTCAATTAATCTTTCATTCTCGATCTACCATATCAACGAGACGAATAAGTCTGTGTTTCCTCAAAAGAAAGCCTTTGTCAAACACCTTCAGATGAACTACATTGGTAAGATATACTGAAGAAGGCCATGATTATGCCATCGTTCTGAGAACGTATCAGCAATTAGCATGTTATGACTGTCACTCACTCATCCTCCAGACCAGCCGATTTCACCAACTCAATCACCTCCTCATTCCCTCCCTGCTTTGCAGCCCACAGATTCGATCGCCCCATCTCATCTCTAAAGTGAACATTCGCCCCTTTGCCCAGCAGATACATCACCGGCTCTCGCTGGCCCTTATACGCCGCACGATACAACGCCGTGCCCCATTGATCCGCCTCCACGATTCCACAGTTCGTCCACCACCCACTGGCTTCCTCCAGATCCGGCCCATGCTCCACCAGCAGCTTCAGCGCCTCCATATTACCCAGCTCCGCCGCGGCAATGTGCGCGGCACTTCTCCCCTGGCGCCATCCATGCTGCAGCATCAACCGCAGGATCTCCACGGACGGCTTCTTGCCAGCTAACACGGCCACGCCGGGCTCCAGGTCATCGTACCCGCCCCACGCCTCGTTGGGATCCTGTCCGTTCTCCAGCAGGAAGCGCGCGATTTCCACATTGCCGTAGTAGGCTGCTAGACTCAGCGCATCGCCGAAGACCTCGCTGTGGTGGCCGTTCAGATCGAGCCCGTTCTTGACCAGGCTCTTCCAGACGGCAAGGGATTGTGCGTAGCAGGCTTGATGGTAGAACTCATTGTTCAAGGAGCCTGGGGCGACGTGAAACCCCTCGCTGAGGACCCAGTCCAATATGTCGAGCTGAGCTTTGCCTGCCGCCCGGGCGGCGATGTGGGCTAGTAGGCTGGGTTGCTTTTCAGGATCGGTTGACTGGTACAGGTCTCGAATGTCTTGGAGATCGCCGCTGGTGGTGTCTGTTTCAACTTTCTCGTGCACGTGCCTTCCCAAAGATGACCCCATAATAGAGATGTGCGTCTTTGTATGAGAGAGCAGAGAGCGAGAACGGTGTCTGAAAGAAAGGTTTGCTTTCCGTGTCTCACGATGTAATTGAGCAGGAGCTCCCTACTGAGTGGATGATGGAGAGCTTTGGGGTGTCCTGGGTCGAGCTGCTGATGTTGGCGAGAATTGTTCGGAGATCATACTAGCACGGCTGTGACATTGCGCCTGTTGAGTGAAAGGGATGAGAATCCTGTCAGATTCCCAACTTGGTCTCCATTGACTGGTTTAGGTGGCTTACTAAGACTATCATAGGCTCCCAACGAACAACTTCTAATTGATGTTGAGCCTCACAAGCATCCTCGATCGATATTCCAAGCAGGAACCCACTCATGAGCTTCTTCATTGGCCAGCCGGAGAAGTCCATCAACGAGCTGGTCAAGTGGACGAACGGGCAGCACCTCACCTCGGTGCGCGACATCTGGCAGAACGTCAACTTCTTCCAGAGGGCCACTACAAGAACGTCGACGCGGCCACCTTCACCCTCTCCCAGCAGGCCTTCCCCAAGTAGTCCCAGCAGGCCTTCTCCAAGTAATACGCGCAGCAGACGGTGGGCACCGCCTACCTCATCTTTCCGCACGACAAGACCCCCGCGATGACCGGCATCTTCTACAGCGTCGAGCTACCGGAGACCATCGCCCATGGGAACGTCGAGATTGTCTGGATCAATTAGAATAAGATCCACGAGAAGGGGTATGAGTGAAAGTTGGAGACTAAGGTCAATAGGAAGAAGGGGGAGAGCAAGCCTGCGGGTGCTTAGAGGTTTCGGACTTCGGACGGTTGGCGGGTTTCGGTTGTCCTTGATGTTCATTGAGCTAGAGGACTGTTTATGGTTCACTTTTGGAAATTCTTTGGGGAAATATTCCTGCGGTGGGAGTTCATAGGTTGAGATTGTTTGGTTGAGCTACCACGTTTGGGAGAGTTTGTCATAAAGGCGAAACTGTATGATAGTACGAACGGGTAAGCAATTTGGACCATGATGTATCTTCAGAGGCAGCAAACTGCTATAATCGAGGCTTTGACTGAAGATTTATCATTGAGAATAGCTGCGAGGCTGGATATGTACACAATCATGGGGTGTTCCGACAGCGCTTGGGGATTTCTCCTCGCGGCTCACCCCCATCGGGGAGAGGATGAGGTTTCCAGGGAGGGTGAGTGGTTGCAGGCGAGACAACACGAAAACTCTACCACAACCTCCCCATGCCACTTCAGATCTTCCCATGAGCTGTGCTTCTTTTCGGATGTTTCCGGGCCGTTACCTTCTTTCTAATTAGATCACCTGTTCCATGATCAGTTCATTGTCCGCTCAACCCTGGTTATCTGCATCTAAGATCGGTTTCTTGGTGATTGCTCGAGCGAGTGAGGCATTTGACTCAGCTATCTATGCAAGCTTTTCCGGTCATCAGGGGAGAATCCTGATATTAAGGCACGTGTTAGTATACATTAGGAAGGAGTCGAACGTCCCCCCGGTCCTATTAGAAAGACCGTTGGCACTTGACCCTGCCCATAGGTACCTCGAGACTATTCATACCGTGACCAGGAAGAGGCACTGAAAAGTGCTGAAAAGTGCACGAGTACTGACTACAATCAGACCTCAAGATCATTGCCCTCTTTCTGTGGTTCCCACTCGGTCAATTGTTCCAAGAGATGTCTATCTCCGATCCCGACGGGCACGTTCTGTCACCCCTCGACCATAGCATCCCAAAGGTGTATTTCACCTTCTACCTCTCTTTCAGCCTGCAGCAGCCAGAAAAGGGCTTGGGGTCACTTCGAAGCGGCATTAGAAAGCTCACCGAGGTCATTCCATTTATCACGTACGATGTGGTGTCCTCCGATATCAAATTTCCCGAGAACGTTCACTGCATCCGACCTCCCTCTGGTTCAACTCAGTCCGTATCTTTACTCCAAGTTAGAGACCATTCTCATGAATTAGTAACAGTACTTGGGAGCATCTCCACCTGCACGGGAGATGAAGAATTGGAATTCTCCAAGAAGTACGCACCCCTGCCGACAGTTTTGGATCTCACGCAACCCCAGCCTGCTATAAGATTTGCCGCCAACATAATGAAGGATGGGATTCTTCTGGGTGTCAGCTTCAACCATCTGGTCTTTGACGGCACCGGGGTTGGTAACATTCTCGGTGTTCTAAGCCATTGCTGCAGTGGTGCACAGAGCACGACAGACCTACATGAAGTCAACATGAAATTGCGTCAGCAATTGTGCCTTGAAAATGCAACCGGCAAAAGCGTATGGAAAGACTTTTCCGCCAGTTACAGCGCGGAAAGCCCTTTATCATGTTTACCCCCTGCAAAGTGCCATTCGGAAATAGCACCGCCGTTCCTCGAATCCTTCCGATTCAACGTGCCGGACCGAACGATCCGTCGGTTGAAAGGTGTTTGTACTGCCTTACTATCCACCAACCACCAGCACGAGACAAATGTGACCTCGCCGGACTACATCTCATGCCATGATGTGCTGACTTCCCTTCTTGCGGTGTGTCTGCGTCAGGATCAAGTCACAGCACTACACGAGGGTGAATACACAATCTCCTTTGCGGCCAACCTCCGACCTCGCATGAGGCCCCCCTGGCCCGACCTATATCTCGGGAACATGGTCGCCATGCTGCACGTGCCACAGTCGTCCCTGACAGAGAAAGTCAACATCGACAAAGGGATCATCGCGGCACATTATCTCAACATGCACAATGAGGACTTGATTCAAGTTGCCAACACAGCCGCCGCAGTCCGTCAGGAGATCCGAACCCTGACGGACCCGCACATTCGCAGCTTGATCACTTATTTGCGGCTGCAGCGCGACTGGGGAGCAATGAACATCAAAGGCGGCCACTTCTCCGTCACCAGTCTTCGGCATTTGAATGTTTATAGCTTCAACTTCGGCAGAGATTTGGGCACGGTAGCCGACTTTCGCCTACACGTGGAGCTGCTGGATGGTTTCCTGTGTGTGGTTCTTCCCAAAGGGAAGCACAAAGCATGGGACATTCAGTGCATGCTGCAAGAAGAACAGGTTCAAGCAGTCAAAAGCCATCGTCTTTTTCGTTGGCTAATGAGTGAATGTGATGGTCATGTCAAGCATGGTTACTGTGCCTCCCCATTGCACGGAACCATGGATTGAGGGTAATCCCCCCTCCTTCTGTATATCAGGTACCATGTGTTTGTCGTGAGCTAGGAAATGAGTTCCGGAGGAGGGGCTCCCTTTTCCCTTTCAGAAGGGCAGGAGCCAGTCGTACCTAGGCAACAAACTAGCAACCGTCCTAGGGAAGGATGCGCCTTCCGAGCCAGTTTGATGTCCCTCTATAATGGGTTTGACTAGGAGGAATGCACCACTCTATCCCATCTCCCAACGACCCTCATCCACTTACCATTACTATATCCAAATTATGTCTCGGGTCGATCCTACCTCAAGACCGCGAAGGTTCATCCGGAGAAAACCAAAACATCGCGGAGACATGATTCCTCCCTCTATCCCCCCATCTATTCCTCCTTCTATACAGCACATCGAAAACAGTCATCTATATCATTATCCATCATCAGCATCTTATCCACCTCGCAATCAGCAGTTCGTCGATCACTCCGCTCATAGTCATCCTCAGCCGGGCTTACTGCGTCATTCCAAGGACATCGACCACGCCGAAAGAGTGCAAGATTGGCTTTCCCGTAAGCCAGCGCTATCACCAAGCCTTTTGTCTGCTGAGTACTCCTAATGCTGCTTTTAGAGGCTGATTTGACACCAAGAAGGTGGCCGGAAGTGCAGTACATGGCCAAGAGAAAGTCAAAGGCAAGGCAGAGGAGGGAAAGGAGGAGAGCAGCAAAAGCTCAGCAGGCGTCAGAAAGGGCAGCCACGGCGTCAACGGCTGATCCCTCGACAGCGGAATTTTCGTCCACTCCCCCGACGACAGAAACAGAGCAAGCCAAGCAAGAGGAACCAACAACCAATGCACCGGACGTAGGTACCGAGGGGGGACCGACAACCGTTGAGCAGCTAGCGGAACAGCTTGCCAACTTAGCCAGCCTGATCGATTCCGTGATCAATACCCCCGTCGAAACCTACCCTCTTTTCATCTACCATGAGCCTTACTGGTTGGGACGAGGCAGTGCCACTCGCGCCATCCCAGGCCTTAATCGTGCTCTCGCAGTGGGCGTGATGGATTCCGAGCGCATGGGCGCTGTCCTCTCGAAGATTAAGCCATCGGAGATGATGGGCCTGCGAGACGTTTACCGGTCACTCTTCGATAGGGAATTGATGGACGATGTGAGAGAGAATACGGTTGGGCTGGTGGTCAGGCAGGATCCTCAGGAGGAAATTCGAGCTATTGACTTTGACTGCACGGGGGCACGTTATGAACTTCCGTCGGGTAGAGCTGTGACCATTCTAAAAGCTGTGACCGCGCCTACCCAGGAGCAGTTGGACACATTGTTGCCATCGGCAGCAGCCACTGGGAGCGATAGGTCGAGCGGGATGACTGGCAATGATGAATTTGCCGGAAGAGCGTTTCACTGACCTGCTGAGTAGGTAGGATGGTGGTCTTATACAGTTGCATAGTATCTGGAAGCCAGCTTAGAGTAACTCTGCTTAGCTTAGTTTTGGCTATTCTTCCACAATGAATAATTTGAGCTTGTCCAAATAGTGGATGAAGTGTAACGATTGTAGACTAAACAGTGCAGTGTGCTTTGCGGACACGAGTAAACGCAAAGTCTGTTCTGCTTGCTTTGCAACGCGCCTCATGAGCTCTTTGGAAGATGGGACCTTTTCCCCCTTCGGTCGAAGTCTTCTTGTGCTTCTTTCGATGGATCACAGGTAGACTACCATGTCGGGGGCGGAGGTGGCCGCTCAGTCCCAAACTGGAATTTGAGCCCGACTTCCGAGGTCGGTCACCGAGGCGCAGGGAAGATCCTCGGGAATTTCCCGAGGTGTGGAGACTCTCCATGACTAAGCGGGATTCAAAGCGGCCTAGACTATCGACACGTGACCGATAAGCATCAACGAAATTATTCTGTGATGTCGACTCTCCTCTCGAATGATGTCGGTGTTGTCATGGCAGACGTGGCCACAGTCTACCCTCTGCACAGCTGACGAACATTATGACGTCCTGCTACCTATTATAGAATCACCCAAGGGATCCTGCCCTCCGGAAGGCGCTCCATTTCCCCGGAATCGTCGGGCGGCACGTCGATCGTCCTCGGAGCAACTGATCTTCCTCCTTTCGATAAGCTTCGATAGAACAGAAGTCAGGACCGCTATGAAGACTGCCTAGCTATCAGTCTCGGCTCGACTATGGATGGATTTTGGCGCTGGGAATCTCCATTTAGAACACTCTACTCCTACGCATGACTTCCCTCCGACGCAATTAATCGCATCGCTTAAACGTGCTGCCAAGATGTCCCCGACTCCGGCTCTTGCAACATTGGAAACAATAGTGTGCTACTGCGCCCCTCTCATATAGGGACCGCCAAGCACCGATGGGATGATGTGATGGTGAAGCGATTAGCCGGTCGCCCCTAAGGCTGAAGGGCTGCAGCGGTTGGGGTGGGGACCGTCGAGCTGCGTGCGTACGTATGCCTCTATCCACTTTTGGTGGCGCTGGAGCGGCTAGCGACGCCCTCGGTGGGAACATCAACCATCATGGCGCAGTCTGTTGACCACGCCGATGGAGGAACAGTGCAAGACCCTGTATGTTCTCTGTCTATCTGTCTTCAATCAAGGGTTGCAGCAATTGCGCATAGTCGAGACATCATCGTCAACAGGCGTGAGTCGGGTCATTGGCAGCACCCGTCCTGACGCGTCAGGAACCGCGTACGTACCACCCGTGGACTTCGAAAGGCACGCAAAACCCTAAATCAATGAGTGGCAGCGGAAAATGCCAAGACTCCCAAAGATTGGGGCGATAGATCGGGGGGCGCCCACTCTCCCCAGCTCTCTCTCCCCCTGGATAGGCAACATCATTCGAGTATTCATCAGCCCCCCTGCCGGAGTTTTGTCAGCGGTAGTGTCATCGGGGTTTATTGACTCAAGAGGCTGTTTCGATTGATAGCCAAGCCCCGATCTGCGTTGCCTGTCTAGCCCGATGATGTCGTATGTGGCTATGATGTGTGCCACATTTCTGGAAGGAGGGAGGGAAAGTCTGGGTCTGCTCTGCGAGCTCCACTGCTTGGCTGAGCGACTGTCTGTCTATATAAGAGGGGCTGACCACCTCCGTTCCTTCTGTGTTCCTCATCAAACAAACAAACCATCTATCCTCTATCTATCTTTCACAATGGGTCTCTTCCACCACCACAACCACCACGAAAACCCCCCTCACCACGGCGGCCCCCAGGGCGGTCCTCCTGGCCCTGGCGGTCCCGGCGGTCCTCACGGCGGTCCTCAAGGCGGTCCTCACGGCGGCCCTGGAGGCCCCGGAGGCCCTGGCGGTCCTGAACACTTTGGTGGCCCTCAAGGCGGTCCTCACGGCGGTCCCGGCGGCCCTGGTGGCCCTGGTGGTCCTGGCGGCCCTCACGGTGGTCCTCACGGCGGCCCTGGAGGCCCTGGAGGCCCTGGTGGTCCCGGCGGCCCTCACGGTCACGGTGGCCCTCAAGGCGGTCCCGGCGGACGCTGGTAAAGTAAGTTAGCCAACCAAGTCACATCATATGCACCACGATCAATCACTAACGCCTGAATAGTACGATCACACCTACCTCCGACCACCATTTCACCGCGCTTCGCCAGGAGTTGAAGCTTGCTTGGACTGTACATACGTTGTTGGATTTGGCTGTGGTTGAACATGTCTTGCATCACATACATTTGCCATGATTGAATGGCTCAAATACCCAATACAATCAGAAATCATAATTCGACAAGTTGCTTAAACATCCTCCTGATCTTGTATTTCCCCAAATTCTTGTAGACCTCTTGGCTCATACGCACTCTACTCTCCGTTTCAATCACAATAGCGTTGTCGGGATAGACAGAAGATGTCATTAGAATCCCTGGTTACTGTACCCATCTCTGGTGGGGCTCGTTGTTCTAGATGAACAGGTTCCACGTGGTACGTCATACACACAGCTGATTTAGCGCTGAGATTGATAAGGTGTTGTTGATATACTTAGACTAAGTCTTTGGAAATCTAGGCCAATGATAAGATTTGTCGGATGAGTTCATGTGAGACTCGACAGTTGCATAATTGATGTAGTATGAATCCTCTTCATAGCTCAGGTTGTGCTCAATATCAAATTGACCACCACTATATCGAATCCAACTCACAATTTCAACGATAATAAACTTTGGTCCATGCCTATATTTCCGCCCCCAAGTCGGAGAACGGAGCCCTGCTGCCTCAGGCAGAAACAACGGACACGGAATCCCGTCCCCGTTCAAAGTCATCAGCTCCTGTCCTTTACGCTCTTCAACCGGCTCCCAGCCTGGAGCTTGCCTCGTTCTTCTAGATTCACCCAAGCGAGTTTATTCTCACTCTAACTGTGTGTTCGTCATGCGCAGCCAGGAAGTTACGCCACTCAAAGCATGCCGGCCATGTTCCAAGGCCAAGACCCGGTGCGATCCCGGGCCAACCAGCCAAGCCTGTCAGAGGTATGGGTGCAATGCTTGAGAAACATCATGTAGTTCCGGAGTCATACTGACAGCGAAGCAGATGCCATCGTCTACGGAAAGAATGCACGAAGCAAGCCCCAGGAGCGCACAGTCTGGGCAAGCCCCGAACCAGAACGTTGACGTACGTGCTGTCCATCCTCTCGCACTGCCATAATTGACGCCAAGAACACCCACTCCAGGGACGTGCGACGATTAGAGAAGAAACTGGAGAACATGACCTCACTACTGGGGGCCACACAGCAGCCCATTGAAGGCATAATCTCCAACTGCGGGTGCCTGACACCCGTCGGCCAGATGCCCCAGATGCCACAACCACAGACCCATTCTTCGAGCGGGTCCGACGAGACACCGCAGGCGACAATCCCCGTCTTCCACCAGCGCATGGCGACGCGCTTCCCGTTCGTTGCGTGCGCCTCCCCTCTGTCGGATGATGAGCTTCTCCTCCGCAAACCGTTCCTCCACATGGTCATGTCCATGATCGCCTGCCAGGATCAGGAGACGCAGTGGGACATCGCCGGGAAGGTCAAGGCGTACCTGGTTGAACGGGTCATGGTCAACGGAGAAGCTAGTATGGATCTCTTTCAGGGGTTTCTTCTCTTCCTTGCGTGGTGAGTCGCCCCCCTCTTGATCGTTCACTATTTGATTACAGCTTTGACCGCCGTGGGGGTGTGTGTGTGAAATAGGGCGCATATCCACGTCCCCTCGCCGGAACAACTGTGCAACTATCTCCATCTTCTGGTGGCTCAGAGCAAAAACCTGGGCTTAGCCAGAGATGTGTCGAGCGGGGCGCCGCAATCCGTGTTGTCGTATATGAAGTGCAGACAGTTTGAGCGGCCGTCCGGCCCGGGCCGGATTCTGGAAGAGCGCAAGGCTTATCTGGGGTGCTTCTACCTCGTCACGATGTATGTCTCATCATCCTCGGTTTTGACGATGCTACGACTGACCCAGCCAGGATCTCGATGTGTCTAGGGGAGTCCGAGCCCATGCAGTATACAAGCTACATGGAAGAGAGCTACCAAGTGCTCCAAGCAGCGGCGCAAGGAGAATCCGATCGATACCTGTTATGTCTGGTCGATCTCGCTCGCATGGCGGAGAAAATCCACCGCACCCTTCAGCCAGACCACCCGCATGATTCGATTAGCTCCTCGGGCTGCTCACACAGAGGAATTGCCATCCGATGGCTGCAGAAGGAGCTCGAACAGCTCAAGCCTGCGCTTGCTTTCGACGATCCCACACAGTCCTGTAAGCCCCTTCCCCCCGCATCACAAGAAAACCAAGAGCACTTTTAACAAGGGACCTAATAATGCGACAGCATTCCTCCTCCTCCAATACCACAACCTCGAACTCTTCGTCTACCGCACCGCCCTCCGCCGCGACCCCGACTTCAGGAAGACCACCTACCCGCCCACCCACCTCACCACCCTGCACGCCTGTCTCCACGCCGTGAAATCCTTCTTCGACACCTTCTTCGCCATCCCCTCCTCCGCCTTCTTCCACATGCCCTACCTCCTCTGGTGCCAACTCGGCCACGGCTTCTTGATCCTGTCCCACATCTCCGTCTACGACGATGGAGACGACGACGGCGACGACGACGATAGCCCAGCACAGAGCCTCTGGGACAGGGAGTACGCGCGCCAGGTCATAGATTATCAGGCCACGATCGACCGACTCACGCAGAAGGTGGCGGATGCGGTGACGGTCGCCCGCGAGGAAGGGACCCTTGTCCCGAGGGTGTTTAGCAAGGTGACTTCTCGGATCGCCATGTGGCGGGATGCCCATGCGAGGCAGGAGGAGGCCTTGCGGCAGCGACAGCGGCAGAGAAGTCAGGTTCCGTCTGCGTCTACGGTTACGACGTCCACGACGACAACGAGCCCCGAGGTTGTTGTTGTTGGGATGGAGACGGAGACGGAGACGGAGGAATTGGTGCCGGGCATGGGATTGGAGGATTTGTTGATGATTGGGCCCATGTGGGAGTTCTTGCCTTTCTAGCCCGGGGGGGGGGGGGGGGTGTCCTTCGTGCTATGGTTGGACTCTGGTTTGGTTAGGCTATAGGGCTAGAGCGAGAATGGATGGAATAAGGCTGACGAGGCAAAGGTGGAGGAGGGCATTATGGTTTCTGTACAATAGATATGGATTCCGTTCGCTTCTTCCCGGAACCTTGGCTGTCTGCTTATATACCACCCGTGCACCGACTGTACCTGCGAAAATGGCTCGCACCCATTCGTTATGTGCAAGGCATGAGTGGAATCTCACAAGCAACTAATACAGCCTCAGCCGCATAAGTGGGTCTGCATCCATCCATCACTACGGAGTATGCGGGGGGTGGGAAGGGGAAGGGGGAGGGGGGGGGGGGCTCACGTCATCTTCCAATTCTGACAGCATTGATTAACCCGTGAATTCTACCCTGGTTGTCTCGGAAGAACATTGCTGTACATTGTTTGGATGGCAGAGGCAGCTACCGGATACTCTGCAAATGGAAGACCATCTGCTCAGTTCAAAAGGATGAAAGGATCAAATCGAGATCATCACACCTTGACCTCCCTCATCTAGTGAGATAGTCTACGGAGTACATATACGAGCACTTACTGAGTCGGTTAGTTGGACTAGTCCTGTCCCATCTTCATCACCAGGGTAAGCGACCCGCCGATCGCAATCACACTAGCTGCGCGAGGAATGCCAGCAGCCAACGGGCACGTCGATGTCAATGCGAATTCTCCACTCGATTTGACCCTGGCCCCGTTGCCCGTGCCCGATACATTTTAGACATTTTAGCGCAGGGACAGACGGGGAGTGGGGAAAGTCACGGAAATACATAGCATAGCTTAAGTAGGTAGGGTAGGCAAGGTACCTAGGGTTCCTCTTCTCTTCTTACACTTTCCTTTCTCCGTACCCTAACTAATGTACTAGTGGCAGTGGTAGTTAAGTTAGTGGCAGTCTCACTCCCCACGCTCACTCCTAATTTCTTCACATCTCATCTTACTCTCCCCATCCTCTTCCACCCGGCAATTTCACCCCCACAACGAAGGACTACACAATGACCGACAACACCACCGAAATCCAAGGCTTCGCCTCCCGCCGCAACAACACCTGCCTCGCCGACGAGGTCAGCTGCGGCCGCACCTGGGACACCTGGTACGCCTGCTGCCCGTCGGGTTCCTACTGCCCCGGCAGCAAGGTCAGCATCCCCAATAACGTCTGCTGCCCGAGCTGGACCGACTGCACCGCCCAGATCGAGGACCCGCCCGTGTGCGCCGACGCCCAGTGGGCCCTGTACAACTACAGCGGGTATTTCTGCTGCGAGGGCGATACCCAGGGGTTCGGGGTGAAGAAGGAGACGTGGGTCGGGTGTGCGCCGGCAGGATTTCAGGGGGATGCGTCGTTTTCGGCGTTGAATGTTATTGCGCAAGGTATTTCGTTCCATCCTCCTTGCACTGGGATTTGGGGTTTATGCGGGATATAAGTTTGAGGGCTAAGGGGTGTTTTGGGTGGCGTTGGGTTAGAAACGACTGCGAGTGCGACTGCTACTTCGGGTACAGCGACGATAACAGGAACTGCAACGACGACTGGAACGAGCGGAACGGCGGTATCTTCGACAACGACGACAACGGCTGCATCGACTGCCCATTCACACGGGGTCAATACAGGGGCGGTTGCCGGGGGCGTGGTTGGAGGGGTTCTAGGTGTCGCTGCGTTGGCGGCCGCCATCTGGCTGCTGATGCGACGCCGGAAGAAGACGCAGTCCCCCGGGTACCAGCCGGGTGTGTCGTCGCAGCCACAGAATGCGGGTTATATGTATGAGGCTACCGGGGAATCGAGGCTAGGCGAGCTGCATAGTGAGCCCACGCGGATTGAGCTGGTGGGCCACAAAGATCAGTTGAGGCATGAGTTGCCTTGATATATGCCATATTCGACTTTGATCCGTTAAAAAAGACGTCCTTCCTTCGAACGGACTGACGAACTTGAAGTTACTTGTGGGAATCCATGCACAGGCTTTTCAATGAGCGTTCCCCGCATATCACTGAAGAATGTGAGAATGTACTATATTGATACCCGGCGACTTGGGTGTAAGTCGAGAGGTGAACCTGGCGTTCTAGCTTCTAAACCGACAGAGATTTACCCGGCCGGGCATCAAAAACAGCTCATGTCTTGCGCGTTGTCATATTGGTCCAGACGAAGGGCTTTCTTCAGACACGCACATGCAGGAATTTGGCGAATTGTGTCCCGAGACATGCTGGGACAAGCACACGTCGCCCTCATGATCGGGCTGGGCTAGAAGTGTTCTCTGGGTGTTCCGGTACAGCTGTTTCACTTTCAAGTCCTGGTACGTATGCTGAATAATTGAGAACATACTTCTGCCATGCCCCTCGACTAACCAAGCCCCCTTGTCTCCGCTCCGTGACAGCAGCTGTCACCAAGTATTTCCTTCTACGAGACAAATCAGATCAATTCCATGTCAAATCATATGTTAGAAGGCTCACCGATCTGGCGGGCAATGAGATCGACATCGCCTCCGAACATCCATTTGATTTCATCCTGCATTCGGATCAGCCGGCTGTCAGCAATCCACCAAGCCCCAAGCCCCCACACCATAGGATCTCTCTCAATAGCTCTTGTCGCGCGCAGTGGGAGAGGTAGATGGTAAGGCTTCGACACGAGAGACTAGATAGTCTGTCTGAGAGAAACGGAGTGTACCATTACGTTGAAAATTGCGCATTGTTTGAACGGATGGCCGGACCTGGGTTAGACCTTCGTACCACTGCCCGAGAATGTCTCTATAGAACTTCCAGCCGCAGTGTGAGCAGTGGGGGATTCGCACGTAATCTTCATGGATATGTGCTTGGGGGTCCATTATTCAAGCAACGAAAAGCAAATGCGAGAAGTCGAAGATGCAATAGAGCGCAATAACTCGTAGTCATCTCCTGGGGAAAGTCGAAGTTGATCCATTACGGGTAGGGGGGATGTTTCGGGCAACGACGAGGACTTGAGTGCCGGCTAGAGGTTATATCACGAGACCGCCACGACTAGTGAGGTTAGTTCGCTGCCTCGGCTACTCTTTCCTAACCTCACAAGTACCGTCTCAGGAACAACAATCACAGGTTTTAGCTACAGGGTATATACACCAAATATACATGGTAGATGAACAACAGTCTCTTGGATAAGAAAGAAAAGAGATCCATAATACAAAGCAGAACGGCGCAAATCGCACACTCGATATCAACTATACAATCCATAAAGTTTTTACTTATCTCTTCCGCGAAGGAGCCGCAGCAGAGCTAGCAGCGCCGCCCATCAACTCGGGCGTGCCACCGACAAAGGCGCGGACGATCTCCTTCTGCGCGCGCCAGATGACCCAGACGGGCACGATGACCCACAGCCCGTTGAAGAACGTCAGGTAGACATACACGTACATCCAGTGGCTCGTGTTCAGCGCGGGGCTGCCGGCCAACCACTCCGGCACGAAGGTCATGAAGCCGCCGTACAGCTCGGCGGTGGCCAGACAGGCGGCCACCAGCCAGGTCCGGGCCACGACCACGCCGCGCTGCTTGCTGCCCAGCCGCCCGTGCGACAGCCGGTACAGGCTGTAGCAGATGTAGGCGGCGGCGGGGCCCCCGAGCAGGACGGTCAGCAGCTCGATGGAGATGACGGTGGGGTCGGCGCCGCCCCAGCGGTGGTCGGCCTTGGCGTACTCCTGCCACAGGCGGGCGGTGGGGTCCCACGAGGCCCCGTAGGTGGCGCCGTAGGCGCGGTCGCGCTGGTTCAGGAACACGGGGCCGAAGCGGGACTGGGTGGCGGAGATGGTGATGGAGCTGAAGAAGCAGTGGTACAGGAAGGAGCCCTCGATCAGGAAGTGCGTGAGCGCGTCGTACGCGTGCCAGAAGAAGAGCAGGCTGGCCAGGTCTTGGTGCGCCGGGATGAGCCGGCGGCCCATGATGTAGGCGATCAGCATCGGGAGGAAGGCCATGACGAGGCAGCTGACGGTGGGCACGTCCAGCACAAACGGCTGGGCCATGATCGCGCTGTAGTCGTACAGGAGGGCTTGTTGGAGAAGGTTGTCGTCGGTGTGGACGGGTGCGTTCGGCTGGGGGAATGCCACGGCGGGAGGAGGCGCGGGGTTCGTGATGCGATCAACGGTCTGCGCAGCAATGGTGGTGCTGAGCAGGTGCGAGTGCAGGTTTGAGGCTATGTTCGTGAGGTGGGACTGCGCGGTCGTGAGGATGGACTCGACCGAGTCTTTAAGTGTCATGGTGGGCGGGTTGGAGACGTGGTGATTGATCGGGGAAGGACAATGAACGAGAAGGAACAAGTCAATTAAGTCTCTTGAGGTTTAAGAGGAAGTGGTCTTTCCCCCCCTGAGAGATCTCGCCCTCAAAGAAAGTCGCGTCGATGCGCGATCCGGCGGCCTCAGGCAGGTGGGACTTGTCTGTTTTGGGGATGGTGGCGCCCCACTCACCATGCCTCGATGCTTTGTGTGTGCTTTCTTTCATGCTATTTCCAGCTTCTTTCAGCTCTGCCTGGGAATCCTCTTTTGCAGGCAGTATAAACAACCTCGCTCTCCGAAGTACAGTACCAGGGCTTTCTCGCAGGAATCCAATGTTGTCGTTCGAGTTCTTTGTGTCGATGTCTGGATGTCCCGCCTGAAGACAACAAAGAGCTACTCGCACAGTCGATTGTACCAGACCGCGAAGCTCTCTTGTGTGCTTTCTGGCAACACTCACTGAAGGCTTATCAGATCTACTCATAATCTGCATTGATTTGGTCTATTGGTATACCTTGTTGCCGTAAAACTAACTCCTTGCTTTGTACTATACCATCCACAGGATTATGTTGCAGCGAGCCGGATCAATCTCTTTGAGAAGAGGCGAGTCTTTCATGCTCTCCTTTTGTTTCAAGGGCGTAGCAGCAATTCAACTAGCAACGAGCTTTCTCTTCAGTATCGACGAGAGTTATGGTTTCAATTGACGAGCCCGCCTGCTGTTCAACTCCTTGTGTCCATATAGTCTCATTTCCGCTAGCTCGATCCTATTGTTCTTAGCTCCCCTCAGTTCAATGTCATAATTCCCAAACACTTCTCAATGGTGAAACTCCGAAGGATACATCCTGTTCTAACCACTAGAGTCCCGTCCCAGCCGACGAAAGGCCACCCAAAAGACACAAGCACAGACAAACACCAACCCAGCTGCCAACGACCAAAGAATCACAAGGTAGGGGTCCTTTGCAAGCGGTGACAGTGCCATACCCAGCCCGTAGCCGAGCGCCAACGTTCCCACATAGCACGCCTGCATCACCGACTTCATGCTCTTTGGCGAATGGCTGTAAAGGTATTCTGCGCCCGTCGGCCAGCAGAACACCTCGGCCAGCGCGATGATGATGTATGTCGGGAGCTGGCTCAAGATGTGGATCTGATTTGGAATCTGGCCGTGATCACTGTTCGATGCAGCACAGGCCAATGGGTGATCATAGCAGGGTCTTGTGTGGTAGGTTGCAGCTTGAAGAACGGCAAAATAGGTAATGGCTAAGGACATGATGAGAAATCCAAGGGTGATGCGGTTGACTGGGTTGAACAAGATCCCGATGCGCTGCAGAAACGGGTATAACACCTTCTGGACCAAAATCCCGAAGAGGATATATGCCACTGGGTTGGAAACCTTGAGAACGTCGTTGGGAATGCCGTGGCTTTGCATTGTGCCGGCCTGAGATATGCCTTGCTGAGAGGCTTGGGACATGCAGAGCCAGAAGATGGGCCAGCCCATGCTAGGATGTGTTGGTTAGCTAAGACCTGGTGCTGTGTTACTGGGACAATTCACCAGATTTTGAAGGCGGATAGCCCGCTTCGAAGCTCCGCGATAAATCCTTCATCCCATGGAACGACACGCTGGTGCATCGTGAGTTGGGTCTGAGGATAGCATGCTTCGAGGTTGAAACCACTCAGGCATGCGTACCAGAGACATTGGGCGGCCTGAGGAAGAACGGAGCTTTGTGGTGGAGGATGGACTGCTCATCGTCAGTCAGGCTTGTTCACATGGTTGAGAGGCAGCACTTGCCGAAAATCCTCCCTGCTGCTTGCACAATGACGAGGCACACCAACACGGAGCAAAGAGCCAGGAGATAACTCGACCAGAACCCAACATATCTCTCCATCATCGTAGTGGCTAAAGCCCCCATGGCCCCAAGGTTAGTCATCCTAAGTCGAGTTAATCTCGGAGTCAGTCATGGAGATCGAGGAGTGGTATAGCTGGCGTACCAGTAGTAGACACTGTAGATGTATTGGATGGTGAGGTCGCGGTCCACCACTACCCACCGGCCATTTGGTCGAGTCTCAATGCGCCCTCCGGGATCTGTATATTGATCCGCTGCAACGTCAAGAATTAAGTTGATAAGCATCCTCTTTACCCGAAGGGGGTGAGTGAACAGCAATGAGATCACTTACCGATGAAAGGTTGAAGTGAGGCCAGAACCCCTCCAAGCCCAATGGCAATCAGCGCAGCTCCCACGGCGAAACCCGGTGCCGCAGTACCGTTATGCATCATGACAGGTAGGGAAGTGATGAAGAGAGTCAAAGATCCCAGTGCATAGATTCTACCATTCATCAGCGAATGTGTGAATTCAAAAAGATTATCCGATTGGCCCCCACACGAAGAAGATCTGCAGAGCCAGGTACCGTCCCAATCGACCATCTACCAAGATCGAAATCGGCAATGGCAGAATATTCACCAAGACTGTGAATGCCAGATTGACCGTAGTGGCTCGTGATTCCCCAAGGCCAAGTGCCCCGGGGATCGAATCGGAGGGGCTATGTTGTAGGTAATTCTCTTAAAAAAGAACCAGTAAGCTATGCTGCTCTAGGCAATAGACTTTGTGAAGAACTTTGCAATATGCGTACGAAAGATGCTTTGGGTGCCCTCGTAGGTAAATCTTTCGAAAACGACGATTGATGCTGCTATCCAGACCCGAGGCGGTAGAGAGTCTGCGACATGGAGTAGGTGTTGGAGGTCATCGTCAGAATGGGCGGAAGAGGACTCATTCCCCTCCAATGCATCATTGCTGCATTGGTTTGACTTCTCCAAGTGTAGGCTCATGGTTTCCTTTCGTCTAAGCTTGGAATCTGAAATGATTTCGAGAGATGCATTATCGTCGCTTTTATGTGTAGTGCATCTAGTTCGGCGTTTGTCGGAATAGATTCGGTGTTCGGAGCTGGATGAGAGCTGATACTGAACCTTGTCGGTGCAAATTTAATCTAGGTGTCAAATATCAAGTGTGTGCTTAGCGTTTTGGGAATATCTCATAATTGTTCAGATTCTCTCTTGTTGATGGTGATGATGCAACATCCAGGATCCCGGAGTACTGCTTGAAGCAGCATACACTTCGTGTGGCAGAAGTAATACCTGGTAAGATCAGGTGTCAATGATACACAAGTAGTCTCTCATGCCTCTACCTAATCCGAGTACTATCATCAAGTTATAGATGACTCGGCCTTTTCCTCGTCTCACGCTTAGTATCCACTGGCGACTGCATGTACTCCATCCATTGGGCCGATAAAGCCTTTCCACCCTGTTCAGACTTCTTGCTGTCGTGGCGCATCCAAAACTGCAGTTCCTCGCGCTATGCCTTCAACTGAGAGTCTAACCAGCCAGACATCAGACAAGCTGTATCGTGCATCTTCTCCAGCGGTGCCATGTGGGAGGTTCCAAACAAGACTTCAGCTCGAACTTGCCCGCCTCCGCCAAGCCCTGTCCCAACTCGATCCAGCTTGTCCTGCCTCCGCGCGGGGGTGTTGATATGACTTTTCTCTCCGAAGATGAGGAAGACTGGTGGCCGGACGTATGGAAGAAGCTCAAAGGCAATACATGACCACGGGCATACTGTCACATAACTCCGGTTGTTATTGTCGCCTTCCTTGGCTGAGATGGCTAGGTCCGGGCCTAGAAAACGCTCTGTCCTTGTAAGAAAACCACTCTTGTTATCACCGTCTTTCTGGGGTGTTGCATTGAGGCGCAAGTATTTCCAGGCCTCCTGCGCTTTGGTAGTGGTCAAAGTCACGGCATCCGGTAGGAGGGGTCTTCTTGGGGCGTTGAGTGGGTAGAGAGCCGAGGATGCATTATTGACAGATGAACACTGAAATTGAGAGATATTAGTGCCAAAGCTTTTACTTTGCGGGAGAATACTGGACAAGTACAATTGTGAGCAGCTGAAACTGTGTGCAACTCCCACGATTGGTGGCTGGATCTGATCACTGAAATGGTTCACCATACCCAGCAGATCTCGAGAGTGGTCAAACCAGTTCGCTATAGTGACCATGATCCGCAAATCCTTTTCCATCATTGAGCGAGTAGTGCATATGGAGGTGTGTCTCACGATCGTCGCCAAGGTTATCTTCGTTCAACACTCCACTGGCGCCTTGGTTGGAGCAGTCCGCGAACCAGATAGCCTTGATTTTCCCCTCGAAGCTTATCATCATCTCATCCCAAAGAGGCTCATAACACTCCTACGTTAAGGTTTTGGTCGTTAGTAGGCTGATACAGTGCACCATTCTGAACAGAGTTATTGCTGACCCTGGGAATACCATTCGCATGTCCTGCTATGATCGATATGCCATCCTGACTGGGACTGGTGTTGTTGAGTGGGGTGTATTGCTTGATTGCTAATTGCAATGGTTTGTCTGTCTTGGCTGCGTGGTGGTATTCACGAATGGAAGAGCAAGGAATAGTGTGCTCGATGATTCTGAACTGGGAGTTCATTTTGCGTTTCGTAGGTTTGGGTACGAAAAACGAAGAGAGAGAGTCGCGTGCACTGTCTCTAGAAGGAATTCTCACGCTATTATATAAGATATGGTCTACCGAGAAAAAAGAGCTGATGGTGAGAATGAAGCTAAGGTGTTGGGTACGGTGGGCTACTAGTGCCAATTTGCAATAACCCCTATTGACTATTCGGACATGCCACCAACCAAATTCCGCATGGCATCAGACTAAGATCTTAGTCTTAAGCTAACAAACTGGATTACTGCAGGAATCAAGCAAGTTTCTCTTTTTACTTTAGGTCCAACTTGGCATCGCTTTCGCTTATTAAGCTGTTTAATATAAAAAACAAAGTACAAAAGTATATAGCTTATTGGCCCAAAGATGCCCTCTGCCTGCGCAAGCTTCCTTACTAGTCCTCCCTGATTGACTTCCAGACCTCCATCCAGAGCAAAGCCCCTGAAGTTACAGCGCTGTCGGCCCTGATTGTTGAAAGCTGGAAAAGCGGGGATGGGTTGATAGTCTCCCTACTCGAATATAGCCGTATGGACCTTATCATGATCGTAGAAGCTTCCTGTCGTGACGCTAAAGTAGTTCTTTACGCAGAGAGTGTTCCTCTGCCAATATGCACTCCGGCACTCGGAATCCAGAGCACAGGCTTCCCAACAGAGGTGAGGTGATGGGAGACTGGGCACGTTCACTTGCCTCCCCCTAGTCCTATGATCTGTATGCGCCATTTTTCACATTAGCTATACCAACTGAGACAGAAAGAGAACAATCAATCCCTCTTACGCTTTTCATAGTAGACTTTGTAGTTTCTCTTTCCGAGAATGCTTTTTCTGTTATTTGCTTGCTGGGTGCAGGCCGCCTTCTCGTTGTTGACTTGCTGGGCGCAGGCCGACTTCTCGTTGTTGACTTGCTGGGCGCAGGCCGACTTCTCGTTGTTGACTTGCTGGGTGCAGGCCGACTTCTCAGCATTCACCGCTGCGTCTTATCCAGATCCTTATCGTCCAGCTTAGTCTGGCAGTCCGCCTTCTCTGCCGTAACTGCTTGGTCGATGTCATCCTGGCATTCTTGGGCTGCACGATCGGTCCGGACCAGGAGGATCCAGTCACCGGAGGTATCAGCCTTCTGCTGGAATCCGGAGCCGTACAGATGACATTCGTTACTAATTGGACCCCAATTGGCGGCATGGCAGGTTGCTTGTGCTGCACACTGCCGGGCACAGTCTAGGGCGCTGGAGGCAGTCCCCCCAAACAGATAGTCTCTCTTTGCATAGGCGCCACACTTGTATTCGTAAACAGTGCCGTCAACCGGGTCCTCTCCTTGGCTGCTGGGACTCGGGCAGCAGGCATTCTTATTGGCTACACCCCCTGGAGTCGAGGAAGCGAGGCAGGTGGGGTCTGCGAGAGCAGAAGGAAAGATAGAAGACAGCCCGAGTACAATCGGGATAATTGCCTTATACATCATCGTAATATTCAAGGGTAAAAATGAGTAGAGGGCAAGATTCGACAGAGAGGGATGAAGTGAAGATGGCTGGGAGAGATTCACGATTCTCTCAGGGGATGGGAACTCTTTTCATAGGTACTAGGTAGCAATTGAGCCGAGCTGAGGATGCCGAGGAAGGGGAGCTCCTGGCATGAGTTCATGGTTACTACATTCTGGTTGCTGTTGAATCAAAGCATCATCCATAGTATTTTCGACGGATTCGGAAGTGGGCGGTTGGCCGGTGCTGGCCGAGATCCCATAGTTACTTCTAGCTCGAATATCGTCTCCATGTAACCATGTAGCTGGGAAACTATAGTATACTAGCACGATTACGGAACCTTGACACCACTACTAGGTAATTCATTTATGATTGACTAATTTCTGAAGATACCACTCTATGTATCATGTTGCATGCTCAGATATCCACAGTTACGACTGATCTTTTGTATATGCAGTGTCGGTAGTTTATCCTATTACTGTTATACAGTACTACTCTATACTTCCCTTGTGTAACTAGGATCAGACTTGGAATTCACTTCAGTCGGAGCCCCGAAGAATTTGACGTTGAGACAAGAAATTCACAGTTACAACTTCCGAGTAAGATATCGAATGTCGGGTACTAGGTCTTGGACTCAAGTCACTAGTGTATGGGCACCAAGTCTTACAACGCTGGCGACGAATTAACATTCAGAGCATGCAATCTTATCCTGATTTGTATAATGATATTCCCTCTAACAGGGTGTGAAGCGTTCGACCTCTTGTGACAGCGCATGTATATCACAACTGATTGGTCTCTTTTTTCTACTTTACTGTACTTCAGGAAATAGGTTTCTGCAAGGGAATAGTGCCTCTTCAATCAGATTAACGGTAATTCAGTCCCTTCAAAAACATAGCAATAGGAAAACCCTCTCAGCCCTTTAAGGGTAATATTAGTCTGGAAATTTGGTCGGCTTATGTGGCTTGATTGCAGGCAGTGGCTTGATTTCCAGTGACGAGCAAAATCTCCTCTCATTAATACAACATCATTATCCAAATGAAATTGTTCAGCAAAATTTGTATGACACCACCCTCTTTTCCGCCTTCTCCATCCTTTTGAATCTTCAAGCTAGCTAGTTTCGATTTGCAGTCGCCGACAGGTGGGCCTCATAGGTTTATACAAGCAGTGGTGCTTAGTAGATTGATGGTCTTGAATTTGGCACGCACGTGTATTCAGCATGGTACCCAGGGTCGCACTTGCTAGGGTCACCACCGTCGCCATCACCAGAGTCGTCGTCGGCGTCGTCAACGCACTTGCCATCGGCATCGCGATGGCGCCCAGGGCCACAGCCGCCTCTGCCAAGCATTGGCTGTCTCTTCTAAATAGAAGGAGGGCAACAACATGAGCTTCAACTCGACCAGTTGAGGGATCGTGGCAAAGTGTCATGTGAGATATGAGGTTTGCATGAGGCACCCTTTGGGGCACTCTGTTGATGCCAGCAAACCATATCTGCTTCGCTATTATCAATGCTGCGATCTGAATCCCGGGTGGCCAATGCCAAGGGCAGCAATACGATAGTTGCTATTGAGGACGCAAACCCCGGCTGCTTTGTTTCTTCGCATCCCTGTCATGTCTTATCGTAGTTGTGGTTAATGCTTGCGATGCTGGACATAGCATTCGAGAAGAAAAAGTTATCTCAAGGCAATGCATGCAAGAAGTAATCTGAGATAGCCTGAGACATTGTGCAATATAGAAGAAACTCTTAAATCTGCTGTTGGCTCTGCGACTCAGTTGTAGCAGAAAAATCTACCCGCATCATTCTGGAAGGCTTGACTGCGCACCTTCCAAGACCCTCGACGGAGCCATCAACCTTGGGCTGAACATTGCCATGCGATCCAATCTTGTCTCTCTAGCGTACCCTATTACTCTCCTTTTCAGTGATTATAAGCGAGGAAGAATCGATCACAGCATGATGTGTTCTTGGGATTTGTGTGGGGTGCAGGTGTGAAAGCGAACCACGCCTCAGCTCTTTGTCGCCTGTTTGGTGGCCGCGACTTGAGTTGAAAGAACTTCCGACCGCAACCCACACAGCCCACTCTTCGGTCACCTTTCCCATTCGTTGAAACTACCTGATCACTACTCGATGAACCAGACTTGGCTCTGAGAAGCTCTTCCTAGTGTCTTATTGCTCAGTCATTGCAGCAAAGCCTATCCCAGATGCCATTAGCCCACGATGGTCTAGTCCCTCGACCATAGGTGAGATCGACACTTGGGTGAGAACCTCACTGAAAGCGCTTGGAACAAGTGAGGACAGCTAGGGCTTGATCTCAAAAGTTTGAAATCTTTCTCGACTTCCGGTCATTCATGCTCACAGAGACTTTGCCTCGGACACACTTCTACGACATCATGACTTCCGTCGATAACGTGGATGTCACCCTATACAATTTGATCAGAATAGCATGGGACTTGTATCATAACTGCAATCTTGTTCGTGGCGAGGCGCCTGACGGCTTCAAACAACTCGTGGCCGGATTACTCTCTCTCCATAATACTCTTCGTGCTCTGAAAAACAGCGTTGAAAGTGTGAGAGGTGATCACAGAGTTGACCTGCAGCCATCACTTCATGCCTGCTTAGAGACCCTGCATGCACTCCATAAACTAGTGGCCAGATACAGGGCCATTGGCGCCAGCAGCGAGAAGGAGTTCTGGGAGAAGATGGACTGGCCAACACAACAAGGACAAGTTGAAGAGTTGAGGTCGGAGGTATCCGCCCATGCGCATAATCTAGGCTTGTGCATGAGTTCGATTGTGAGGTAAGGACCCTGGTCGTGCCAAGGCTTGGGATCATGGTTATTGACCCTTTCAGTTATTCACTAGGAAGCTTCAACAACTCAGTGCTGGATAATTTACAAACAGACAAGTCTCCCTTACCATCACCGCCGCCACAGGCCGAAAAATCTCCCATATTTCCACCACCACCCCCAATATCATCTCGAAGACCTCACCTTGTCGGGATCTCCGAGCTAGAAGGAAGCTCCATCTTCGAATCGACCAATCCAGATGTGAAGACACCCAATGGCTTCAGCAGTGATCCCACACGTGGGTCAGTCTCCACAGAGTCGATGGCCTCCGGATACTCTGATGGCTCCGTCATGTCCGGAAGTACGCTTACCCCTTCTAGTAGCGTATCGGGGAATACAAACTTCAACATGCCCTCGATGGATCTATTCTCAACCGAAAAAGAGGTGTTGCATTCTCGGACTCCAGCCTTCGTGGGGAAAGGTACGCCAGATACAGATATGTCACCTCACTCTCGGACGCGGGAACAGATTCGTCGATCACTGCGCTATGAGCCTCGAGATAGATTCCACCAACCGGACGCTGAGCTCATTCTCAAGTTTGATGCGTCTGTGGTTAAAGGGCAGGAAGTGCGGAACCTCACCACGAGCGGTTGGTTACACATTGCTGTGTGGTGGCTGCTGAAGGTATGGCACAGTACGTTTTGGCTTCTATAATTCGACATCTAACAGAGTCTCAGGCCCGTGCAGTCCTTGCCAACGCGGACAAGCCAAGCCCGTTGGATAATCGTGGAAGCGTTAGCCCATCAACTTTATCGTGGTCCTCCAGCCATCAAGCATATGTTGACCTGCTCAAGGCCTCATATATCCTATATGATGTTGTGCTCAGAACTGGCAATCCGGAAGAATTGTTCTTGAATGAGAATCGTAAAATGGTCTCCGATTTGTCGGAAGTGAGTAGCTCAAGCACATATGCTGGATCCCACTTAACCTAGACTACAGGGTATTAGGGAAGACTTCTCCCAGTTCAGCTCCGTCGATGTTCCAGACTATGCTGCCATTCATTCACACAACCAGGAGATTTTGGAAACAATACAACCCGAAGAAAGTACGGGGAATATCAATCCAAGTTTAGGTCTAGGCAATGTCCGTTATACTACGGTCGAGATCGAAGACGCAGGCAATGAGGACGAACAAGTCTTCTTCCGCACGTTCGTCAACGCCGGGATAGGTAGCAAGAAGCTTCGCATGAGAACGAAAGGCGCCCCATACATGCTTCTGTTGTCTACCAAGGAAGGAGACAGTGAGCCGAAAATTACCATATGCAATCAAATGGGCACTTTTTGCCTCCAACGGGACTGTGAGTTATACCCCCTTCATTACAGACATTGGTTGAATTTGACCCAGTCATAGTCACGCCAGCAGATTTGGCCCAGCTTGTTCAAGTCTCAGAAGCCTCTCTCAACATTCTTTCGGTTGCCAAGTCTACGGAACCGGTGACGCTGATGTTTGAAACGGTCAGCGTTTCTATCTCGTTTCAGTATTTGCCCGACTTGGTACAGTTCATCAGCGTTCCGAAAGCCTACTTCGATGCGGTGTGGCCCCGGGAGCCAGTAAGCTCGGACGAGATTACCGAAACTATGATCTATAGAGGCACCGTTGAGGTACTGGAGCAACTCAAAGCACCCAGCATGGTAGCCATGAGTCCAGCTTTGGTTCACCGATCCTGTGAAGTACGCATTATAGAGAGATCATTTGGCGAAGCATGGCGATCCATCCGGAGAATGGTCATCAGTTCTTCTGTGGCCGACAAAGATCCAATGTGTATTGATTGGTTCATGCCTCTGAGCTGTGTACAAATCAACCGCAAAAAAGGATCGAGGCAGGCGCTACTGAAGTGGTCAGATACTGGGCAAGAACGATCCGATAAGACTGATGGGAACTACAACCCCCTTTACTCCAATGTTTATGATGAGAAGAATCCCAATAACGGGATTAGTATAGAATGGTCAACCGAGCAGGCAGCAGAGGAGTTTGAGCAGGCTATCATGAGTCTGAACGCGAAACCGATATTCTCCTGGTCTCAGACCCAAAGCTCGGGTCACGTCTACGACGCAGTGGACGACACTCCGGATCACAAGAAATACAAGACCATCATGGTGTGTCAAACACACGCGGGCTGGAAGTCTAGTGGTGTATATTATGTCTACAGAGACATCGACTACAGCTATGAGCATGGCAGCCGCAGTGTTCGATTTCCGCATATATTTCACACCCACTACATATCATCACACGTGGATCAATTGTACCGTGCTGACTCCCAGGTTCGATTCTCCCACAGCGAGAAGGTGACGAGAAGCGTTGCGATAAGCTTCGACGAAGTGCTCACCCTGCAGGGCTTCATGAGCTCACTGGCATCCTCCCACGAGCTCGTGTTCTCCAGGCGTGCCACATCTCTTACGACCAAGTCCAAGCTCTTCTTCGGCCATAAGAAATCATCTAAGGGAGACTCGGAGGTACAGCTGTGGCGAGATGGGGAGAATCTTCGTCTTGCTGCACGATGGAAAAGTGATCAAATCGCGGACAAGTGGTTAACACTGGGGATGCCAGCTCGGGAGCCGACGCGGGACCACAGTGATCGAATAAACTTTCCCACGCAGGAGTTTTCAAGAGGAATGGTCCTCAATATGGCTAAGATAGCCGCTGGAAAAGCGAAGGACCCAAGTAAGGAACGATCGCGAGGTCCTGTGACGATTCATTTTCCAACAACAAAAGGTGGGTTCCCGCATGAGCAATGAGCATGCTGAGGCATGCACATATATATCCCGGTTACTCTCTGCTTCGAAGCTAATGATCAACAATGAACGACCAGATCAAAGTGATTTCATTCTCGCCTTACGAACCAGGCCTCTGTCATAAGACTAGATGAAAGGAGTACTAGGACATATATAGTGCGAGGAAATTCCGATGAAAATAAAAAAGGAGCCTAAAACAAAACCGACCACTGCGGCCTATGATGCGATATCGATGCTCGTCTGAGATCGACAAAAATAGTCACGCCCGGGATCGAACCGGGAACCTTCTCGGGTCGTTCAGCTGATGTGAACGAGAAATCATAACCATTAGACCACGTGACTGTTTCTTGTTGATGACATTGTTCTTATTTGTCTTGTCAACCCTTTTCCCGCATCATCTGCAAGTTGGTCTGCAGATACCACGGACGGTACGGTCGGTCTGTCCCTTGCTGCAAGGCAAACCCGCCGCCGATCACCAAATGATCGCAGACAGGGACAAGTCAGGGACAGAGAACAGTGGCCAACCGGGCATCTTTCCTACGACGCTTGTGATGAGGATTGAGGGGGGAGTCTGTGCCTTGGAATGAACAAGATTTATAGTCCGTCTGATCATACTGCTGCTGAAGACGGGCCTCATGAGATCCTCGAATCTTGGAAATCGTTTCTACAGCTGCGGTTCATGTCCCAGCGTGCCTGAGAAATGATGATTACATCGACCTGTTTCTTTCGACAAATCAATAACTTCGCTTAATTCACTCAAGATCTTTTGATGAACCGGTAATCGTCATTGACGGGCAAAACCAGCCACGGTATGTAGTCATTCCGTGACTCAAACTAAAGCTAACAGGAGTTATCCGCTTTTGTCCCGTATGACTTGCAGACAAACCCCGTCAAGCCAGAAAACTAAGTGTCCACACCTGCAAGTGCACCGGGCTTGACTTAGAGCGGGTGATCTCCAGGCTCCATCTGCCTACTTCTCTTCTGGGCAATCGGGGAACATTGACGCTGCGCCGCGTGCGCCTCGCACGTGCAGGCCTCATGACTCTAATACACGAAAGGGCTGCTGCTGCGGCTGCGGCTGGTACGCCCTTTTCAAAAAGAGTCACTGCCTAGCTACGCTTTCCCTTCCCGATATGTGTCATCTATTTTTACTGCATGATGACTGGTTGGTTTTGATTGCCCTGAAGCCCGGGGTGAATCGAATTCTGTACTCTATTCAAGAAGGATTTTTGATGTGTTATTTGACTCGACGTCTCCTTCTCACTTACTCACTAATTGCAGAGCCTGGTGACTCTTAGTCTCTCTTTATCATTACTCCGTCTTTCGCTGTTGCGTTCTCCTGCTTTAAGGCTTGAGAGACGTCCTAACTTTTAACTTCTGAGTCGCGTTCTATCATTCCGACATTGATCGCAGCTGCGTGGGAGTGTGGATATGCCATATCTGGTTCATCATCATCGCGAGCATCATCGACGACGCCACTCCTGGCCTTATTGCGGTGGTGGAACACAGCCTCAGTCGCTGGGGCGAAACTGGGTGGTCTTTCAGTCTGCACACCAGCAGCAGCAGCAGCTACAGTACCAGTACCAGCAGCAGCAACAAAAGTCCTACCAGCAACTCCTCAAACAGCATTTCCTCGTCCCAGTTGGATCGGAAGACTTACTTGAGGACGATGCTGCGTCCGCGGGGATTGGGCCCTCGCTGACGAGGACGAGGGCGATGCCTGCAGTGGCACCGAATAATCGTTCTCGACGGTGGTGGTCGTCGTGGTGGTCGTCCTCCGCGCGAGGGGGTTCCTCGCCGCAGGATGATCATACATCCCCTAGTGGACATGGAGGACCGTTCAGGAAGATGGTGCGGCCGCCGTTGGACAAGGCAAAGTCGCTGTTTGTAATGCCCACAACGACGACTCAGTATCCGGTCGGCGATGGAGAGGAGGTACTCTTTACGTCGTACTTGGTGCCTTCGCCGCCGAGTTCGCCGCGTGCCGGAAAGTTAGATGCTGCAGGTCAGGTTGACGCGACTTCTGGTGGATTGTTGTCAGTGCCGGTAGTGGATGTTGCAGGTGGTCGTGGTGGTACTGGTGGTGGTCGGCGAGGGAGAGCAATGGATCTGCTGTCGGAGAGGAACCATCGGCGGTGTCATTCGGAGCAGCCGCGGTCCTGGAAACGGCCAAGTGCGAGTTTGTGGCCGCTTGAAGAAGAGTGAGGTGCTGCTGCTTTAGTGGTTTGTTCACTACATGGTGTCGTTTGATCGGGCTCTTCTCATTCTATTTCAGGCTGGTGTGCTCGAGAGTCTTGTAGGTTTTTCTTCTGCCTGTTTTGCTGCTTCTCATTCTCACCGTGTTCTATTTTGTCCTGGTCAGTGTTAGCATTCTGCTTCGGGCGTCTGGTATACATGGGCAGTGGTATACGGGGATAGGTTATTTGCATGTTTGCATGACGGACAGAGTTGCGCGCGGGCGGTCGGGCGGTCGGGTCATTCACGTGGTTTTGCGGCGTGATGTTACGGTCGGTCGGTAGCCTAGCTAGATTGGACAGGGACACAAATAATAATACCTCAAAACTAGGTAGGCTTCTTGCAGAAACATTTTTGTAACCCTTGCAGAGCGAATTACCGCGGGGCAACCGCGCATCTTTTGCCTTGTATCAGTGCACGAGACCGTGCTTCGGACCTGTCAAAGAGATAGACAGACAGTAGACAGCGCCCGGAACGACCGTGCCGAATTCACGCGGCATGGAGATGCTGTCGTGCTTGGCATTCTGTGACTCCAGCTGAACATGATGTCACTGGGTCCGAGAAAGAGCCTCAACGTGCCCACTTGCTGGGAGTGGAGTGGGGATGGGAGTCGGGGTTGTCGGGGTGTGAATGGGTGCTTCGTCTACTCGGTGGCAGATGCACTGGTGTAGTCAGTGGTTGTGGATCTCCGCGGATGTTGTCTTCTTGACTTCTTGACTTGAGTGCATACGGAGTAGTTCACACTGAGTTCGTGTATGAGGATTTGGCAGTGTTCGAATTCGAAACCAGTAGAACTGATAGAACTGGCATGTCCCACTGAGCGTCAGTATCCGGGCCAGAGCGACGTAGTCGACCGTTATTGCTGCGTTGCTAACCCAGCCGAAACCGAGACATCTGTACAAGTCCCGCTGCTATTTTTACGCCCGCACACACCTACCTGGCCAGTTGAGTTGGTCCGTGGAACGTGGTGAAACATTCTGCTCGAATCTCGAATTATTGCCTATCAACCCTCCTCACCCTCACGGTTACCTGTTGTCTAACTACGGTAAGTGACTAAGTGTGAGTGTGTTCTGTTCCCCTGAGAAAATTGACCTGGCTGGCGGCGGGGATGGCTCACGGAACGGACGGAATCAATGGAATGAAGATCCCCCCCCTAAGCTGAAGCGCTAAGATGTGAGACCGACTGCACTATCAGCCCTAGTGAGCCCTATCACTCTGTCGGTGGTGGGTTATTGGATGGATTGGCCGGTCTGGGGAGTGGAGAACCCAGTTAGCACGTTCGACGGGGTGGGGGCGGATTTACGCGTGATCTCTCTCTCTCTCTCTCTCTCTCTTTTTTTTTGTTGCTTTTTGTGAGACGGGAGGGAGAGGGAGAGAGGTGCGTGCCAGGTGCAGTGCAGTGCAGTGGTCAGATGGGGGTTCTGGAAGGATTTTATTTCATGTAGTGTTGGGATTGGTGGTCGATACTAAGGTAGATACCTTAAGTTGCTGTAGGGGAGTGAGAGGGTTGATGATGGTCTGGGTGTGTGGTGTGGTGTGAGTTGTCCACGTTTTCTTGGGGAAAGGAACAGGTATGCATGCCGAATACGAAGTGCTACCGTAGTGTAAAGAACAGGCAGCGGTGAATTGGAGCCTCCTGACGGGGTTGACAGTACCGGAATGGCACTGTGATTGGCACACCGGCCGACTCGTAGGGCAGAGGGGTGGAGAGCACGCTGGATCTTCACCGCTCCACTCTTGCTGAAAGCCCTATCGATGGAGCCCCTTTCCCTCCTTGCTGGCGTCGCCCGATTCGCCAGCCCGCCTATGTCCGACACTAAGGCTGGCCCGCTGGCCCGCTAGGCCCCAGGTGGGCCCCCGATTGCTGGTAGCGTAGCCAAGTCGGCAGTCTGAAATTGAAATTGAGGGGTCAGAGGGTTGAGGGTTGGTAGTCTGGTGCATAAATACCCTTCTTGTTCCCGAGGGTTTGCGGGTTGAGGTTTTTGTTCTACTTTTCTGTGTTTTTATCGGATACTTGAGTCGAGGGTTTGAGTGATCAGGCTTTGTTTATCTAAGACAACTACAAGTACCACAACTACCACCACCACCACCACCACCACCACCACAATAATAGTCTCACACTACGACATTCAAAATGACCCCCTCAAGAGCCACCCAGGTCCACGATGACCACTCCCACAAGCGCACCTCCTCTTCCTCCTCCTCTGCCTACTCCCGCAAGAGCACCGAGGACTACCGCCGCTACAGCGGCACCGTCAACCACTGCGGCCGTCATTCCAACGATTGGCTCTTCGGCGGTTTCAGTCTGCGCGACACCGTGCGCGGCGGCGTCGACCGCCTGCTGCACAACCACCACACCAAGGATTGAATCCCAGTTGGGCAATGCCAAAAGAAATACCAAGAACACAAACAACAACAACAACAATACCCACGATCTCTAGATCCTCTTCTCACAAAGGGGTTTCCATTCCGAAGAATCTTCCGATCGAAGTCAAGGGTCCCTCCACCGCCACTGCAAGTACAATCGGGGGTTGACTCGCCTTGCTTAGCGGAACATGAACCTCATGGAGGCAGAAAGGTCACCTTGCGATCTTCGTCTTCGTCTTCATCCTCGTCTTCATTCCCGGCGAGGCGGGTTCGCGGCAGTTCATTTACCGTTGATGGGTCTTGAGTTGCGAGCATGTCGCTTCATATGGAGGAGAGTAGTGGGGAGGGTCGTGATGGATTGAGTCCTGTCTTGGGCAGGGGAACTGTTTCGGACCTCGCGGATCGAGAGTTGAGGATGTGCCAGTGTCATGGGCCTATTGTCGGGCTTAGGGACTTCGGATTACTGGGCAGACTCCATGGAGCTCCGATACTCTGCTTGAGCGTTCGGCTCGTTTATGTTGGAAGAATGCCATTGAATGTTCTGTACCTGAGTTATGGTTCTGTTTGTCGGTATAGATCATCTGCCGGCATTGAGTGGATTGGGTGCATGTGTCGATTTTAATAGCAGCTATATTCATATTAAAAACTGGTGTCACCACCACTCATATTCTCTGATTGTTCCTCTAGTCCTATTCGTTAACATACACCAGTCCAGAATTTAGATGCTGTGGATGAACACTGTATTCGTTTACCAGTAAACAATACCCAGAGCCGCGACTTGTCGTATATAGCTTGTACCAGTGGTTACTATACCCGCCCACCGCAACACCTCGCTCACGAATCTACTCCTGAACTAAAGATTTCCGTACTCGAAAGAAACTCCACTTCCGACGGATCGACCCGCGACACCCCCAGTCTTTGATCATCATCTCGACATCTGGATCAGATCTCACAAGATGTCATGCAGCTATGTGACTCTCTGTCCCACGCCTTGTATAAAGGAGTATACGAGCTCTTTGATTGTATACATTGAGTTCTGGATTCCGTCTTCCCGGTCTATACTTAGTACTCTTCATCGACTTACGCAAATCTTGGTGATGAGGTTGATAAGATGAACTTAATGAACCCGGCACGAGGGTGAAATCCCCTGTCCAGAAGGAGATCAACTAGATCCAGGTTGTCTTTGATGGAAGTCCGTTATTGTAAGAATTCACAGTACAGCAAAGCAAAAAAACAACCGAAGAAGAAGCAGCCAGAGAGCAATGGCCATTCGGAACCACCGGTATCTACTCAGCATATCCATGGTTTCGTACTGGGTGCATCCCTTGCGGAACGCGAGTGCTTACCAACGATAACACAGCAGATTGGTTGCGGTACCTAAGCATAGAAGGAAGAAGACGGTCAGCAAGAGGGACGTGGCATGAGGAGCATGCGAGCTTTCTTGACGTGTAGTCGCGTCGCACTGGAATGCACGCAGATCTTGGGTCATCGGGATGGAATCGGAATGAAGAAAATGCAAGGGCGGGAGCGGGGTCTCGAGGGGCCGGTAGGTGCTTTGGGTGGATGCGAAACGGGACGGGAGTGATTGTGGTTGCGATGCTGCTTGGTTGGCGTTTCTGGTCATTGAGCTTTTTGGTGGTGGGAGGAGATGGTGGGGGTCGTGGTGGAAGTGATATAGGGCTAGTAGGAGAGGAATATGCTTTCCCGGCTTTGAGATATAAAGTGCCATCGGCTTTGGAGAAAAGAAAACAACCGAGTAAAGACCTAGGAGGACATATGTCGCTGCTTCTAGTTGTGGTATCTAATATGCTGTAGAATGTCTCTTTCGATCGAATTAATGATTAAGATCTAATGATGGCTGGCTTTCTGTATCTGGGGTCATGCCCGGTACGTATCCTCTCATAGACCTTGCAACATGGAGCTCCACACTGTGACAGTCAGGGCAAGGTGCTTTCTTCAGCTAGAATTGATCCGGGAACAGCGTCAACAGTAAAGGAAGAAAGAGCTCATAGCTCAAGATTCACTCTAGACATTCGCGATCAACGCGAAGGGCAAACGGTGAACCAGGGAGTGCCCGAGTTCAGCTTCAGGCAGCCTGCCATGCTGCGATGTCTGCGACTGTGATATCAATATTTTCTGATATCAGGCTCTGTAGCTTGGAGACTTGTGCAGGTGCTATCACTCAATTAGTCATGGGCAACCTGGGCCAAGCTTGACGGTATACGTACTTGGACGCGGAGGTGCAGCACCCGCTTGTACCGTGATAATTCCAGAATCAACATACTCCCTCGTAGATACACCATTGGACGAGGCAGCACCGAGCATGACCCGCATCCTGAACTTCCCAGCCTGAGTGAACTTGAGAGGCCCGAACCGCGCATAACCGCTGATTGTATTCCCACTGCTGCTGCGCACACTGGACGTAAGTACTCCCGTAAGCCCTGGAGCAGGGGCGGTCCCGGCTTCGTTCCTGAGCGATATATGCGCAACTAGCTGCTGTGTAGGGGCTCTTGGAGCTCCTACCGGTCTCACCACAACAACCACTGGTAATGATATGGAAACCCCAGGGGCGACAGTGGTCGGAGGCGCGACCTCAAAATTGA